CAACTTTTATGGCGTATCCAGAATTGAGCCAATACTTAGTGATGAAGTTTGGCTTTTAAGAACTTCAGCAACCATTAGTTCAATATTTATCTGAAATGAAACAACAATAATAAAACACGAGATAAAATGTAATTTTGTAATTATTTATATCGGCATATCGCATATTAAAATAATCAAAAAAATAGCATGTAAATAAATTTAAGGTTTTGCCTTCAAGCCTGTGAAATTAATTACGAATTGAAGTTTGAATTGATCAACATACGAGTACAATGTAAAATATTTATGTGTTTTTTAAGTGTGTTACCTCTGAACTTTTTTCTAGGTGAAGCGATTTTAATGATTCTTTTTTTTTTTATTTGAAAGCTGGTGCTTCTCATGTAGTCATATAAATCTGATCAAGATCGGACCAGTAGTTTTGTAGTTATCCTTATCAATGCGTATTCAATTGAGTTCGATTTCATTGATGATGTTCACATTTTAATTTTATACAAAACTTATAATTTCACCACTTCTCTGTTTCACATTTTTTGCTTTTTACAAACATGCGACACACGACGGTATTATTAATGAAAGAGTGGCAATGAGAAGTGTTGCTATTTTCAATCTCTTTCTTTTATCGACCAAGTGTTAAACTATAACCAGTATAATATGCTGATCTAGCATTAGTAGGCAGTTACTAGTACTGGGAGCTCTACTTACACTGACAAACGTTGACGTTTTTTTAAGTTTTAGGCGTTATACGAGAAAAAATCGAAAACTGCCAAGCTATGGTCGGGTCGCTAATAAAATAATATTATCCTTAAGAACAGTAACGAATGAAAAGATTCCTATTGTTATTTAAGCATCCGTATGCTAAGCAGTAATTTTTGGCTTTTCGGGGGGCCATTCTTGAATAAAAACTCAAAAATAAATTAATATCAAGTGTCTAAATACTTATAAGAGATTTTTTTTGTTAACGTGAGGCGCGCGCGTGATAAGCTCACGGAATCATGTACGGGGCCGCGCAGCGTAGGTATATTTTCATGCCTAAAGCGAGGAGTGAGACAGCAGGCCTGTTGGTAATTTCCTGGACATATTGCAAAATTTATAAATTACGTAATAATATTATATTCGGGTTATCTATAAAGTTTTCTCATCTGGTTGGGCTGTTTAAATATATAATTGCAAACGAAATATATAAACATACATAAATATCAATAAAATAGAATAAATACATAAATATATAAAAACCCTACCAGACGGAAGCCCTCGGCAGGGGAGACCAAACGGCCGAGGGTTAGGGGGGAAAGGGAAAGAAACCGGCGGTATTGAGGAGCACCGCCTTCTGCATTTGAGTTTGGAGCGGTCCGTCACGGAGTCCCAGTCGCCTCAGATGACCCGAGAGGCTAACTGGGATTAACCCGTTCGCAGAAACGACCACAGGAATAATTTCGGCCGGCAGACCACCCCAGATGTCGGTCACCTCGTGAGCCAGGTCCAGATATTTTGTCAGCTTATCTGTTTCGGCTTTCACGAGGTTCTCGTCATAAGGAATGGTAATGTCGACCAAAAATATCCTTGACTTGGCTTATTCGCAAGAATAGTCTAGCAACCCTTCCCCTTTCGACATGAAGGATCGCACACTTATCCGTCCCCAGCTCCATTCTAATAGAATTGCTAAAATCACAAGTGATGTTTAGCAATTCCATAAGATGAGAGCGACTGGAGGCGAATAATTTCAGATCATCCATATAGAAAAGGTGGGTCACTTTTGTACCTCCTCTCCGAAGCTGAAATCCGTTCCCGGAACCCTCCAGTAAGATACTGAGAGGGTTCAGAGAGAGGCAGAACCAGATTGGACTCAAACAATCGCCCTGGAAGATACCCCTTCTTATCCTTATGTGGTTCTCCGCAGCCTTCATCCGCTCGCCTAGATGACAAAGGATCTTATTTCACTGCCCCATACACTGTCCGAGGAAGTCCCGAACTGTACAGTCAACCTTGTACAGCTCGAGGACCCTCTTAAGCCATGTATGAGGCACCGAGTCATTCGACTCGGTGCCTTTTTGTAGTCTATCCAGGCGGCGGAAAGGTTCCGACGGTTGCGTTTAACCACCTTGCCAATGACCGCTTCAATGAGGAGTGGTTCTTTGGTTCCACGACCACCGCCCCGACATCCATTTTGAGCGCACGACATCACCTGGTTTGAGTTCAGGTGACGAATGATTCTCGCGCTCAAAATGGATGTAAGTGTCTTGTACATATATGGTAGGTAGACACGTTATGGGGCGGTATTTGCTCGGGTCTGTGGAATCCCGGTCTTTAGGAACCAAATGAGTGATCCCAGTAGTGAAGAGGCTCGGGAGCGACTTTTGGTCGAGAGCCTTTTGAAACTCGGGCGAGCACAGCGTGACACACCATGAACCCGTTCAGCTAGTAGTGATGCAGTCCGTCGAGTCCCGCTCTTTTCCAGTTCGGGGCCCTACGGACCGCCTCAGCTACGTCATCCGGCGTTATGATGACGGAGTCCATGGTCGTAACATTCGCACACTGACTCGCTACAACTTCCGTCCATGGGCCCCCGCTGTGGTTTACGGGCTCTGACCACAGGCCGCGCCAGAACGCGATAGTGTCGACCTGATTCGGTGCTGGGCCAGTTCCACGTACTGCCTGATTCGGTGCTATGTCGCTCCAGTGATTCATAGAGCCTCTTCTGATCACTCCGGAAGAGACGATTCTGGATGAACCGTGTTGACCTCTCGGTATTTCACCGAATCCGCTTCCCCCAAGCAGCGATTCTCTGCTTCAGGTCGTCTATGCGCTCCGTCAGTTTTTGCGTTGTATCCGGCTGGGACAAACTGATATTTGTCCCAGCAATCGCCATCCTGACGGTGCCCACAATTTTCGGCCTATTATTGCCCGACCTGAAGCTTATCAGTCTGCCGATGAGGGCCCTTGCCTTTGCGATACGGTCCTCAATCCTTCTTCTCCAGGCTGGGATGGCGCTACTTTGTCTAGTAGCGCGTCCAGCCGTGGGAACTTTGACACCAATAATACGGCAAACTGCCAGTGCGGCGCCAAAAAGAATTGTGTCCGTCTCGCAAAGGTCCCGGCTGGCTTCCAAATAGGTCACCAGCATTGGGTTGACAGCCCTCACGACAGCCCGATTCCGCTTGCTTAGGGGCATGCGCGGGAGTCGCGGTCGATTTTCGAGAGGCATACTGCGCGTTTCCAAAATAGCCTCTTCCAATGTACACCTCATTTGCTCTAGTTCTAGTTCCTGGGCGACTGTTCCATCATCGTCTGAACCAACCATAACTGAAAGATTCACGGCGGCATCCACGTGTGCTGGTTGCTCTTCAACTTGTGGCGCCGCATCCTCAGCCGTAACATTGTCATCCGATGAGGGTACAGCCTCACGTCGTAGCCGTTCGAGTTCGGTGCTATCGAATATGTTTGAGCGCAAGATATACCGAACTCGGTCTGCTAGGTTTTGCTCGGTGACGGTTATAGATAGCTCCAGCTCAGCAAAAAGTCGATGCATCCTAGCCCGATACGCAAAACCTCCAATTTTTCCCCCTTTCGCCCTAAAATACGCCCGCAATGCGTTGCTGTTCATCTGCATTGACCAACGCATGCGGCGTACTCCACCAGTGGCGTGTGCTGATTGCTGGGCCCACGAAGACCCTGCTAACACCAAGCCAGCTGGTGGGGATGATGGATGCGAGGGGCTGCTAGGTAGTCGTGCAGCACCTCGCACTCGGCTGGCGGCCCGCATGCTGTCGCGTCCAGCGCCAGCTCCAGACGCGCCCCGGCGACCCCCAGGCAGCGGCCCTATACGCAGTCTATTTCTTTCCATCATCCATAAATTGGGCGTCAATTAACGGGAGATGCCCAGGCCCGGCACCGTTTCATGGTTTGGCCGAAAGCACAAGCGGGCCCAAATTAGCACCCTCAATTCTGCCGAGGCACGGCGCTCACAACTCTTGGCAAGGTACTGACTGACTGCGCTGACGTAGCAGTTTTGTCACATAACCATTACGTCAGCGGGCGATGGGGTCGTCACTTCCCTACGCCTAATTTACAAATAAAATTACGTAATAATATAATAATATTATTACGTAATTTTATTTAAAGCAAAAAAGTTTAATATGATTTAAATGCAATACGTAATACGATTTTTGTTAGTTTTTGTTTATTAAAAATTAATAATTAAAGTGTATGAGTATATTTATTGTTGAACTGTACTTGGGAAGTCGGAAGAACAAACAAAATTGAATTCCGATTATCCACCCTAGGGTGGATCTACGGATTAACGGAATGACCGGAATATACCTGTTTTCCTACAAAACTTTTCCACTGCATAAAGTTTGAGAGAAGACACTGCATGCTCCGGTGAACGGTCTTTACCCTTAGACAAAGACATACGACTATCGTTTTCTAAAGATTTTTAACAAACAACGTCGGGCGGAGACCCTCATTTGATGTAAAAAATTTAACCAAAGTCATGACTAAGTAGAAGATGCCATTGAAAAATGATAAACCGAAGAAATTTAATAAATTTATTTATTAATAATAATGTAACTATTGAGATGATAAATATTTGAGAATACAATTTTATTGAAATAAATATGATTATTATATAATATAATGTAATTATTTCACCGTGTGGTGGCGGTATAAGAATATTTACTACCTTATATCGTCCCGTGCGTGTCGTGAGAGGCGACAGAGGGAAACCCGTCGTGCCAAGCCTGGCAACTATATTAAAATGTAAGGTACGCCAGCAAAACGAGTTTCATCAATAAAATTGTTAATTGCAACTGTAAGTGCAACAATGTGCTCGGCGGTGAAGAAAGACATCGTGAGGAAACATGCATGTCTAAGATATTAAAAAGTATTATGATACGAAAACATGGGTTCTCTGCCAACACGGATTGGGGTAAGGTAGTGAACTCTACCTTAATCCAAAACCTCTCTCAGTAATGATACGAGCTAGTCTACTGCGCGGGACCGGGACATTAAGCTGCTTCGTCAAAGTATCCATCCAATTGCGTCGCGATCTGAAAGAAAATATAACACGTAAATAATTTCATCGCCCCTGTCTAATACTACAAAGTAATCTTAAAAATACGTAAATCGTATCAAGAGGCGTATGTAGGGACAGGAGTTTCCCATCGTTGCTGAGGATTAATACCAGATGTCTCTGTGTAAATATTATACGCCTCATAAAGCGAAGCACTATTGGGTAGTGCTTTACTCTCGACATGTCAAGGTCAAGCAATTTCGTGTTCTTAAAATGCCTCTATCATAACTTTGAGATGGCTACTCAAAGTTATGATATATCAAAAAAAACCACTGATTAATCCATGTTACATAATAATTTTATACTTTAAAAAAAACGGTTTGAAAAAAATTTACATGGCCGTCCAAATGTTGCCTGTTGTAATTGTATCAATAGCAATAGTTGTTGAAATGTATCAATAGCCTAAAACGTGTAGTTTGTTAACAAAAATATTTTCAACTTTTATAAGTTTTATTGCTATTACAAATTTAAAGGCGATTTCATGATTTTTTTAGCCCTTGGCAGACAAAGGACAAATGTCCTTTGTCTGCCAAGCCTATATCGATTGTTATACTTTGTGTATTCGATTTATTTTAATAATAATACTATATATTGATATGTTGTGTGTGTATGTGTGATGATAGTATTAAAGAAGATTCCATATATTCTATAAGGAGGAGGATCCCTATTGATTTTTATTATTGAATTCAACGCCGTTTAAAAGTTACTAATGAAAGTCGATCAGATTCTCTGTTTTTCTTTTTCCTTGTATAAATTATTGTCACTATTTTTATTTTTTTCATCAAAATTAAATGAAACGCTCATTAGGCGTGCACTTTTGGGTTTTCCAATCTATTGTATTAGATATTGAATGAGCATGTATATGTAGTGTTAGCACAACATTGCTGGTACTCGCGGCATAAGATAATGCACAACGCAATGTTGTCCTAATATTTTTAATCTCTCCGTGATCCTAGTTGTCGTAAGTCGGTATAATTATCTCGTTTACGTCAGACGTAAAATATTCAGACTGGGCAGCGTCAAAGGTGAGAGACTACGGTGTATTTTGGTTTTACGATCTTTAATCCGCTTACCAAGCATGACGTTTCAAGCAAATCTTTTCTAGAGCAGGAGAAATCATGTCCAGTAGAAAACTTAAACAGGTCGGTAAAACAGTTTTTTAACTAACGTGAAAGACGAAGAGCAGCGCCTGCTTGTTGTCCTGTAGCCTGTAGCCTGTAGCCTGTAGTGTAACTCACCTGCACGGGCGTGTACTTGACGTACTTGTCGGGGTGCTTGGAGAAGGGCAGGGCTGCGTGCGCGTCGTGGAAGGCGGTGTAGGCGGGCAGCAGCGCCTGCTTGTTGTCCTGTAGCCTGTAGCCTGTAGTGTAACTCACCTGCACGGGCGTGTACTTGACGTACTTGTCGGGGTGCTTGGAGAAGGGCAGGGCTGCGTGTGCGTCGTGGAAGGCGGTGTAGGCGGGCAGCAGCGCCTGCTTGTTGTCCTGTAGCCTGTAGCCTGTAGTGTAACTCACCTGCACGGGCGTGTACTTGACGTACTTGTCGGGGTGCTTGGAGAAGGGCAGGGCTGCGTGTGCGTCGTGGAAGGCGGTGTAGGCGGGCAGCAGCGCCTGCTTGTTGTCCTGTAGCCTGTAGCCTGTAGTGTAACTCACCTGCACGGGCGTGTACTTGACGTACTTGTCGGGGTGCTTGGAGAAGGGCAGGGCTGCGTGTGCGTCGTGGAAGGCGGTGTAGGCAGGCAGCAGCGCCTGCTTGTTGTCCTGTAGCCTGTAGCCTGTAGTGTAACTCACCTGCACGGGCGTGTACTTGACGTACTTGTCGGGGTGCTTGGAGAAGGGCAGGGCTGCGTGTGCGTCGTGGAAGGCGGTGTAGGCGGGCAGCAGCGCCTGCTTGTTGTCCTGTAGCCTGTAGCCTGTAGTGTAACTCACCTGCACGGGCGTGTACTTGACGTACTTGTCGGGGTGCTTGGAGAAGGGCAGGGCTGCGTGTGCGTCGTGGAAGGCGGTGTAGGCGGGCAGCAGCGCCTGCTTGTTGTCCTGTAGCCTGTAGCCTGTAGTGTAACTCACCTGCACGGGCGTGTACTTGACGTACTTGTCGGGGTGCTTGGAGAAGGGCAGGGCTGCGTGTGCGTCGTGGAAGGCGGTGTAGGCGGGCAGCAGCGCCTGCTTGTTGTCCTGTAGCCTGTAGCCTGTAGTGTAACTCACCTGCACGGGCGTGTACTTGACGTACTTGTCGGGGTGCTTGGAGAAGGGCAGGGCTGCGTGTGCGTCGTGGAAGGCGGTGTAGGCGGGCAGCAGCGCCTGCTTGTTGTCCTGTAGCCTGTAGCCTGTAGTGTAACTCACCTGCACGGGCGTGTACTTGACGTACTTGTCGGGGTGCTTGGAGAAGGGCAGGGCTGCGTGTGCGTCGTGGAAGGCGGTGTAGGCGGGCAGCAGCGCCTGCTTGTTGTCCTGTAGCCTGTAGCCTGTAGTGTAACTCACCTGCACGGGCGTGTACTTGACGTACTTGTCGGGGTGCTTGGAGAAGGGCAGGGCTGCGTGTGCGTCGTGGAAGGCGGTGTAGGCGGGCAGCAGCGCCTGCTTGTTGTCCTGTAGCCTGTAGCCTGTAGTGTAACTCACCTGCACGGGCGTGTACTTGACGTACTTGTCGGGGTGCTTGGAGAAGGGCAGGGCTGCGTGTGCGTCGTGGAAGGCGGTGTAGGCGGGCAGCAGCGCCTGCTTGTTGTCCTGTAGCCTGTAGCCTGTAGTGTAACTCACCTGCACGGGCGTGTACTTGACGTACTTGTCGGGGTGCTTGGAGAAGGGCAGGGCTGCGTGTGCGTCGTGGAAGGCGGTGTAGGCGGGCAGCAGCGCCTGCTTGTTGTCTCGCTTCAGCGCCTCGCGCAGCTCCGCGTCCGGCACGCTGTAGCCGCGCTGCGCTCGCGTCATCTCCTCCCACTCGCGGTTGAACGACTGCCCGCAAAAACGCAATAACCATACATCAATTAATTACTCGATCATAGGAACAACTACACAATCGATAAAATCGCTACTCAATGAATGGAACAACTACATAATCAATGGAACATCTGTACTACAGATAGAGAACCACTACTCGATGAATGGAACAACTACATAATCAATGGAACATATGTACTACAGATAGAACCACTACTCGATGAATGGAACAATTACATAATCAATGGAACATCTGTACTACGGATAGAACCACTACTCGATGAATGGAACAACTAAATAATCAATGGAACATATGTACTACAGATAGAACCACTACTCGATGAATGGAACAATTACATAATCAATGGAACATCTGTACTACGGATAGAACCACTACTCGATGAATGGAACAACTACATAATCAATGGAACATCTGTACCGATAGATAGAACCGCTACTTTATGAGTGAAAAAACTACATAATCAATGAATAACTACACAACCGATAGAACTACTAGTCGATGGATAGAATAACTACCTAATTGATAAAACCGATACTCAATAAATGGAACAATTACTTAAGGAATGAAACAACTATAAAATCAAATGATCTTTGACGGCTCCGTGGCGCAGTGGCTTAGCAACAAGTTGCAGCGCTTAGGCTGCGGGTTCAAATCCCGCATAGAACAAGTATTTGTATGCCCTATTAATAGTTGTTGCGGGTCTGAGCGTTTGTCCTTGTAAAATTTATGTATGTAAATTGCCCCCACAATGCACGAGAAAGTCCTAGTGCGGAGGTTACGTTTTTTTTAAATAAAAAAAAACTTATATTCAATCTATAGAACAGCAATACAGACGATTCTATGGTGCAACTATAATATGGAACAAATACACAATCGATAGTACCGCTACTCGAATACAATCGATAGAACCGCTACTCTATGAATGGAACAATTACGTAATCGATGGAAGCGCTACTCAATTACAACTACATATTCAATGGATAACTACACAATCGATAATACCGCTACTCGATGAATGAAGCAACTCATAATCGATAGAAGCGCTACTAAATGAAACAATTTCATAATCAATGGAACAACTACACAGTTGATAGCACTATTACTCGATGCATGAAACCACTACATAATCGATAGAAACACTAATCAATTAATGGAACAACTACAAAATCGATAGAACTGCTACTCGATGAATGGAACAGCTACATAATCAATGTAACCAGCACACAATGATATAACCGCTACTCGGTGAATGCAACAATTACATAATTAATAGAACAACTACACAATCAATGGAGTAGCTGCTCAATCAATGGAAGAGCGACATAATCGATGGAACAGCTACATACATAGTCAATGAAAAATGGTAGACACAGAAACATACACTTGTCCTAACCAACCTGTCCGATATGACACATCTGCAATAATCGGAGGTAGACAAGATGCAGTATCAGGATATGAGAACATTCACAATACAAGTCCCAAATCGTTACAGCCTATAAAAATCCACTGCTAAACATAGGCGTTCCCCATAGATTGCCTCATAGGTGGGATGTTTGCCATTGTTGCCACGCTTGGCAAGCTGGTTTGCAACCGCAGATTTTTATTTTATTTTTAGTCGTTATAGGGAAGACGCTGCTGCCCATGTCCTAATTTATTTCCCTTTGTCGCCCCTTACGACACCCACGGGATGATATGGGGTATTGTATTTTCTTACACCGCCACTACACGGTATACAAGTAATACAAGTCTCGAAATCCAATTATTATTTTTTAATAAGTGTTGACTCCGGCTGGAATTCTTATCCAAATAAAAAAACACAACTCAACAAAACAAAATCCTAAGTTCCCAGTTTTGGTAAAATAAAAAAATACTTTCTATAAAAATTACATATAATCTATATTGAAAAAATATTCCATTCTATTTCCTTTTAATTCGTAAACGTGAAAAACGAGAAAGCAGTTCACTTGATAATAATTAGATGCTATGATCTATAGACACCAACATCTTTCATAAATTAAGGGGTCTCAGGTTCTATAAACTGTAAATACGAAACATCAGGTCTTTCCCCGGTCAAACCGATCAATTCGTACTACAGTGCTCCAAAAAATATTTTTCCACTTGATAATAAGTGGATGCTATGATCTATAGACACCAACATCTGTCATAAATTAATTAATTAATTTATTTATTGCACCAACAAAGTACTGTTACACACACTGTTACATACATAAATATCAGAATTACAAAAAAAAACATATAAAGTGCTACTTCAATTATAGGCGCAAACAGCATTTTCTGAAAGTCACGTACATTAACTTATGTTGTGAAGAAATTTAATTTATTTATGTTAAAATGTATACATTTTTTTATAAGGATTTTATTATAAAATTAATTAATTTATTAGCAATATTAACAACAACAATAATAAAATTTAATCATTGCATTACACTTAACTATGTCAAAAACAATATATCATTCAAAAACTAATAAAAAAAAAAATCAATTAAAATTTAAACAAGTCGAAATGTCATTATAATAAAAATTCATATTATAAGTCAAATTTTAAAATTTAATATAAAAATAAAAATAACGCTCACAAACATTTTAAGTTAAAATTACCTATCGTACATAATAATCAAATTATTCTGTTATTACTTGAGCTGCAAAATTATTAAATTGTGTTAAAGAGTTTGAAAAAATATCTAGCTGAGAAGATCCTTTTTCAGTTTCACTGGATATAGAATTGTGAATGAGATTATAACTCCTCAACACTCTGTTTAATGGAGCATAATGACCCAAATTTGACGTAGCTGGATAACTTTTAAAGGGATGTTTCTTAAGTCTGTATGGCTTTCTAGGTACAGCAATATTTACTCTAGATAAAAGATCAGGGGTGTCAAAATTTCCATTTATTAGCTTATAGCTTAAGAATTAAAATTACCAGTAAAGAGGTTCTTTAAACTGAAATATATGAAACAACAGGTCCTTCCCCAGCCAGACCGATCAATTCGTACTACAGCACTCCAAAAAACATTTTGACATAATTTCACAGAAGTACATTAACTTGTGAAGATTTTGGTTGATTAAGTATTATGCCATGACGAAAATGTTAAGAATGAGATGTATGATAATTCTGACTGCAAGTCTTACCGCAAATTTATCTTTCAGTATCTGTCTGTCTTTGTCTCGTAGTTTACTAGGAAGCGGTTCGTCCAGCGTTATGTGCGACAGCAACTTGTTCCAGCTGTAAATAATTATAAAATTATAGTGAAATATATTTTCCCCATTCCGTCCTGTGGGTGTCATAAGTTCCTTACTATTGGAATTGCCAAAAAAACCTTTTGGTTTGCAACAGATCGCGTTGCAACCGTCTCGTTTACGTCAGACGTAAAATAGCCAGAACGCCGACGGACAGCACAATCAAAGTGCGAGACGTCTGATACAGCGATCTTGAATCCGTTTGTCAAGCTTGACGATCGAGAAAAGTCCTACCCACAATAAGGGAGACCTCAAGTCCAATAGTGGACTTTAAACGAACGATAAAGAGATGGGTAGTGACACTGGTGATGTTACTTCTCATCAGTGGGATATAGTTAATCGGCCAAGCGCTGTAAGTCAATTTATCTATTTATTTATAGGACATCAGCAGCACATATATTAACATATAGATAAGTAAGTAAGTAATTTTAATCTTGGTTTATGATGTGTGCACCTTTATTGGTGACGCAGTATTACGGAGACAATAAAAACATCCAATATTGCTAAGTTACAGCTTATTCGAACATCCACATGAGATAAGACTTTGGGGGAAAAGTTGGCATTATATTCCCTCTTTGACCACATTCAAATATAAATAACACCCCACAGTTTGTCCAAATAAAGCCCAGTCCTAAGCTACCTGGAACTACTGGTTCATTAAGTCGAAACTATTTACGAAAAGGAAAAGAGAAGTCACTGCACTGTTCTACATTATTATTTCTCAGTTCGAAAATATACCAAATAATCGTGTTTAAGGTCGTGTAATGGATTTTTACCTCTGCAAGTATGCGTTCTTGTAGTCCTGTATCATATCGCGGTAGCTGGTCTCGCACTCGGGTTCGGCCAGCATCAGGACGTCTAAGAGGCCGCTGCGTTGGAGACCCTTTAATAGACAAGCAAATATTTTGTTTTCGCACTATACAAAAAAAACCACATGCAAACTAGATGATAAAACCCTTTTTCTCCCAGAAGTCCGTTTCTGTCAATATCTCTTTAGGTTAGCTGCCAAGCAGCAATGCCTGCACCTGTGGTGTTCTGGCCTAAAAGGTAGAGATTCTATACTTTTTTCTCTCTATTAGAGAGTCAGTACAACTACACGGATGTAAGCTATTTCATCTTAAACTCTTTGTTAGAAAATGATTGCAGGTGTCCATGGGCTGCAGTAGCTACATACTTCAGGTTTAGTTCTCTTGTCAATTATATTTTTATAAAAATCAACACAATGAAGATTTTACTGATATTATTATAATAAACATACGATAAACAGTCTCTGTTGGACAAGACCAAGATTGTGAATAAGTGCAATTTTCTGACCCTGTGTGCGCATGCGTCAGTATGTGAGTAGGCTAATGAGTCTGAATACTTTTGTGTGCAGGTACAATATGTTATTTGTTTTATTAATACATTACTATACTATACTACAGTATACTTTGTATCCATCCCTTATTAAGCATATTGCGCGCATGCAGGAGTGTGAGATTTGGCATAGTTAAGTTTTATAGAGAAGGAGTTAAGAAACCTAAAATGTATAAATAATATGTGTATATAAAACATTAATTGCCAATGTCAAACCACAGTTAAACTGTCGCAGAGAGCAAAGAGGATACAATCACTACATAGAGATTGTCGCTAAAGAATTTTAAAATGTTTCCAATAAATAATTACTAACAAATTGACTGAATGAGCTGTGAATTTTTGTGATTTCAAATGTTCCCTTCTCAATAATGTGTGTGAGTTGAATGTCAAGGCAAAAAAGCATTTTTATTTTATATTTTTTGTAATAGACATTTGTGTATTATATATTAACGTGCAGCAGCATAAAGTGAAATACAGCTTGCTTAATATACCAACTTACATTTTTTTATGAGATAAGGTCGGATTTGGGTGATTGATTCTGGGCGACCACCGGCTTCTTTATTACGTGGCAGAGCTACGCTGCAGCTATATTACGGTTACAGCATGAATGGGTCGATTCGACCAGAAAAGAACCAGATTCTTATAGAATACCAATGTAAAATTACTAGAGAAATGCTGCCGTGATTTACATGGTAAGTGACAAGAACCAGAGACCTTTTTTACTAATAAAGGGAAGGGAGGAAGGAAGGGAAAGGGTTCATCGTTGTTCTCACGAGTCATAATGCATAAACATTTTGATTTTAGGTGTAAGTGTGGGGCCACATCATCCACTTGTCATTATAGGGGGGAGGAGTGTGCTCTTTTGTATGTAATATACGCACGTTTGTTAAGTATACAAGTGTGGGTATATTAGTTATGAGATGCCTATATGTACGTACATGTGTAAATGCAATATATGAGTGTGTTTAAATTAAACTTTAATAGTAGTTTCATAATCAAAGTCATTATTTTACTTTATTTAGACTTCTTTAAAGTCGTATAAACGTCAAGATCTACATAGACTCCCAAAAAACAAGACTTCAAAGAAGAAATGAAGTAAAACAAGAAATGTCTGGGGTTTTTTTTCTTTATACAATCCCTTTTGCAATTTATAATAAAATCAATAAATAACTTATAACTACTTATATAAAATATAATAATAAATATCATTACCTGCAGCAGGTACAGTGTGTTATTAAGCAGGAATATCGCTTTCAAAGCGTCGGGATACTGCTCGCTCTTGGTCCGTAACGCCAAGTTCAACTGAGCCAAAACTTTGCCTGCAACATTACAAATATACGAAATATCTAGTACTACGGTCACCAACCACATTTAAAGCGTGGCGATTAAGCCGAATCTTTTAGCGGCTGTTGAAGAATATTTCATATTTAAAAGACATAACTTACGCATATATATTGCTAGCATCAGAGCATTCCTGTCCTGCACGCCAGTTATCTGACTAGCGGCTCGTACGTATGACGGCTCCGTGGACAGTGCCTGACCTGAAATAGTTATTTTACAATGTAAATAGTAAGTATTAAGCATTGCCATGTAGTGGCGGTTAAGAATATCCACTACCCCATATCTTGCCGTGAGTGTCGTAAGAGGTGATAGTGGCAAACAGGCAGGAGATGTGCAACAGCATCTTCCTAATAACAGCAATATTACAATAAAAAAACTACGGTTGCCAACCCGCTCGCCATGCGTAGCAACTATGGCAAATATACCCCCATGATGAAAGTTACGAAGAGACGGCAGCCCTAGTCCCCGGCAGTCCTGCTATTCCTGGCTACGGTGGCGACCATGGTAACGGCGGGGCAGGGGGTGCTAAGAATCTCCGGTGGAGGTTCGGTTGCCACCTAAGATGACTCGACCTGGCAACATATAACGCACGCACCCTGAGGACTGACGAGAAGATCCTGGAGCTGGAAGAAGAGACTAGTTGTGCTGGCATATTAGAGGATTATCCGAGGTCCGAAGAGAGGTGGAAGGATACGGTAATCCTCGAAACCGGAAACTTGTTCTATCACCAAAAGGGCGACCATCTGTCCCAAGGAGGTGTCGGATTTATCGTTCACAAGTCTCTCGTTAACAACGTTGTAAAGATTGTGAGTGTGTTGACGAGGGTTGCGTACCTTATACTAGAAATACCAAATGAAACTAGAATCACCAAATGGTATTCGTTGAAGGTCATACAGGTTTACGCACCAACCTCGGCACATCCCGATGAGGAGGTGAAGGAAATTTATGAGGACATCTCTAAAGCCATGCATTCCTCCAAAACCCACTACACGGTATTCATTGGAGACTTCCATGCAAAACAACTTGTACCTAACAAGAGAGAACGGTGAGCTGAAGTTACCGAAATTTGGAATTAGGGCAATGGAACCCAAGGGGCCAGCAGCTGGCCGACTTCACGGAGAAAGAGGACTCTTTATGATGAACTCTTTCTTCCAGAAGCGGCCCAACAGGAAGTGGGCCTGGTCGACGGTTCGACAAAAATGAGACTTCATTATGTCGACCAGAAGACAACTGTTGTAATGTCTCAGTGATCGCGAGGGTGAAAACTGGTAGTGATCACCGAATTGTTAGAGGCACACTGAACCTAAACGTTAAGTTGGAGAGGTGTCATCTAATGAAGTTAACGCTCCGTTCCTCTCGTGCTCTAGTCCAAAGTCCCGAAACCTTTCAGCTCGAGTTACAAAACTATTTTCAATGCCTAAAAGACTGCAATGAAGTGGACGATATCAATGATAAACTCGTGGAAACCCACCTAGCGCCAGCTGGTGCTAGGTGGGTGGTGGCTGTGACACGGTACCGACCGACGGTGTGCATGTGCACGGCGAGCGCGTGGCAGTTGGCGAGCGCGGCGGCCACCAGCTGGTACTAGGTGGGTGATAGCTGTGGCACGGTACCCACCGACAGCTGGTGCTAGGTGGGTGGTAGCTGTGGCACGGTACCGACCGACGGTGTGCATGTGCGTGGCGAGCGCGTGGCAGTAGGCGAGCGCGACGGCCGATAGCTGGTGCTAGGTGGGTAGTAGCTGTGGCACGGTACCGACCGACGGTGTGCATGTGCGCGGCGAGCGCGTGGCAGTAGGCGAGCGCGGCGGCCGCCAGCTGGTGCTAGGTGGGTGGTAGCTGTGGCACGGTACCGACCGACGGTGTGCATGTGCGCGGCGAGCGCGTGGCAGTAGGCGAGCGCGGCGGCCGCCAGCTGGTGCTAGGTGGGTGGTAGCTGTGGCACGGTACCGACCGACGGTGTGCATGTGCGCGGCGAGCGCGTGGCAGTAGGCGAGCGCGGCGGCCGCCAGCTGGTGCTAGGTGGGTGGTAGCTGTGGCACGGTACCGACCGACGGTGTGCATGTGCGCGGCGAGCGCGTGGCAGTAGGCGAGCGCGGCGGCCGCCAGCTGGTGCTAGGTGGGTGGTAGCTGTGGCACGGTACCGACCGACGGTGTGCATGTGCGCGGCGAGCGCGTGGCAGTAGGCGAGCGCGGCGGCCGCCAGCTGGTGCTAGGTGGGTGGTAGCTGTGGCACGGTACCGACCGACGGTGTGCATGTGCGCGGCGAGCGCGTGGCAGTAGGCGAGCGCGGCGGCCGCCAGCTGGTGCACGGTGCCGTCCACCGCGCCGGCCGCCGTGTCGCTCTTCACACCGTCGATCCACTCCTCCAGAGTGCGCACGCACTGCAACATACGATAGTGTCATCCACGCCGAATGTGACTCACGGCGGCCAACATTGTGTTATTATTGTTTTTCATAACTTTTAAGAAGTTTTTATTTTTCTCTGAATAATTTCATAGTATATACAGAACTGCTGTAGTCCTCCCCCAAGGAATGCCACAAAGGTACACGGTCCTGAGCCACCTGCATCCATCGACTTCCTGCATGTCTTACCAGATCGTCACTCCATCTCGTGGCGGGTCGCCCTACACTTCGCCTACCGGTACGAGGCTGCCACTCAAGAACCTTTCTACGGTTGTCGGTTCTTCGAGCTATATGGCCGGCCCACTACCATTTCAGCTTACTAATCCGTTGGGCTATGTCGGTTACTCTGGTTCTACTGCGCATATACTCATTTCTAAGTTTATCACGCAGAGAAACCCCGAGCATAGCCCTCTCCATAGCTCGCTGAGCGACCTTGATCTTCCTCATACGACCAGCAGTGAAGGACCACGTCTCAGATCCGTAAGTCATCACTGGCAACACGCACTGGTTGTACAATTTCGTTTTAAGGTTTAATACGTTAATCTCTTCTCATCAGACATACGTGTCTGATGAGAAGATGTGTCGTAGTTTCCCGAACGCTGCACAGCCGAGTTGAATCCGTCGATTGACTTCTCGGTCGATGTTGGACTTATCTAGTCGGACTATTTGTCCCAGGTAAACATACTCGTTAACAACTTCGAGCTTAGTGATCCCAACAACTACCGGCATAGGTGTGACATGGACATTAATACACGATCTTTGTTTTGTTCATGTTCATCTTAAGACCTATCCGTTGCGAGACACTATTGAGGTCATTGAGCATGGTGCTTAGCTCCTCCAGCGATTCTGCCATAAGGAATATATCGTCGGCAAATCGAAGGTGAGTGATGTACTCGCCATTGATGTTAATACCGTATCCTTTTCAGTCCAGAAGCTTGACAACGTCTTCCAATGCAGCAGTGAAGAGTTTCGGGGATATAACGTCACCCTGTGTACACGCCCCTAGCTGCCCCAACAAAGGCCAAATATCCCGGGGCCCATCAGCGGAAGATTCGACGGACAACTAAGGGTGGGGCTCAAATGCCTATGGACAGTTGACCTACACGATAGTGATAAAGCTAGGTAAATAAATAGTACGTACCTGGATCCGAAGCTAAGACCACACCAAGGCTCAGTCAGGCCGTAGGTAGGTGTAGGTGCATGTAAAGTGGTGTTTAGTGGTGTGTATATTTATGTGACCTGGCCCAGCTGAGGTGACCGGGCAGCGACCTGGTCCCATGCTGCCCCACAATGCTGCATCACTCCAGCAGGCGTCACCAAGTGACAACTTCTTTCTTCATGTCATTATTTCAGTCTATCAACTTTATTGTACATTTAACTAACTTCAACTCAACTAATTCAACGTTCATCGTAAAATCAAACACGTGATACTCGACACAAGTAACGAACAGTAGTTCAAAGTTCAATATTCAATGTTCCGGATTCATTTATCACCAAATTACAAATATGGAATTAACGCGATCTCTTCACGAGTCACAAAGTTTAGCGTTACAAACAACAACTAAATTCCTTCGTACGATATTAAATACTACGCCGCAATAAGAATTCAAAATTAACCTAGCTGACACGCAAACTAACTACAGAGTCAACACACAAAAGGCTCTTAACGCGACGGTACAATTAAACAATTATTTCCAAAAACAATCAACCGGGCCACGCCCTCGAAATGGAATGCGAGCTTCAAATTCCAGACCGTATCTCTACTCGGCACGCACGCAAGATTCCACGTCACACAAGCAAGTTAAATATTGCAAAATCACTTCAACACGCAATCACTATATAATTGGCGCAATTACTATCAAACTAAATTACTTTAATCAGTCAAATTCCATACAAGCCTCTTGTCACGACCGTACAACTTAGACAAACTAATCCGAAGCGGTCCTCACGAACCACAAATTAAATAGCGAATTAAACGCGCACAAATACTAAAAATCTAGACCACAAAAAACCAAAACTGGTCGCGCGAAAAACCGCTGCAGCGGTCACTACAAAATACGTGAATCGACCGCACCGCTGCTCTCAAGCTACAGTCTTAGCCCACGGCCGGAATCACCGGAGCCGGCCCACTGCCGTCCCCCCCCCCCTCCCCGGCGACGGTTATCTCACCTCGACAACATCGTGTGATACACTAAGTCGAACGCGATTGGGTGGCGTATCAAATGCCTATATTTGGCCAAAACACCCTGTCTTACACCTCTCTGCAATTGGATAGGTTTCGTATTCTGGTTCTGTACTCGGATAGCCATCGTAGCCCTACTGTACAAGCACTTCAGCACTTCGATACACCGACAGTCAACTTAGCTGTACACGTTGTACAGCTGCCCATAGAACCTCTCAATCTCACACAAAATCTCAGGTGTCCCGGAAACGATGCTGCCACACTCGGTCTACAGCTTTGACAGTTGGCTCTTTCTGGTATACAGATCTCTGACAAAGACTTTGGAGCCTTGATGCCGCTTGATCGCATCTTTAATGTAAGTCCCGCAGCATGGAATTTATTACGGTGAAATAGACACTTATTAGTTAATTGACTTTGTGTGGGTAAATAGTGTTTTAAGTACGTTTATTTTTTTAAATAATCGGCCCTATTTTATTGACGGAATGCACAGAAGTTTCTCAATATTCTTAACGGCCCAATAACAGAATATTTAGAAGGATTGTCTGTGGCAGCTTACCAGAGGGTATGGTTCCAGTTAGATGGAGCTCCTCCACACTCCGTACTCCTCGCGAGAGAGCGGCTTAACACCATGTTCGGCGAACAACGGATAGAGCGCTATGCACCTCGCAGGTGGCCAGCTAGGTCGCCTGCCCTCACTCCTCTAGACTTCTTTTTATGGGGCTTTATTAAAAATGAGGTATACTCAAAGATCTCCGAAACTGAAGATGAACTGCGCAATCGTATTGTTGCCGCCTTTAACAAATTAAAAGCCCTGGCTCTGGATCCTGAACGAAATTTGTTGAGCAGGCTTCAGGACAACATTATGCGGCGATGTAACTTGTGCATTCAAGAACGTGGCGGACATTTTGAAAATTTTTAAATTTTGGGTTCCATTAAATTTTGCAACTAATATGCAATAATGTTTATGTCGTTCAGTTCCATTTTCGCGAAATAAAAAAATGGCGGTAAAATACCTAAACAGTTTAGTAAGTTTTTATTTCGTCGCACATTGTCCAACGAACCATAGGCCGTGCCGACAATAACGATGCCTGCCGCCAACCGCCATGCCACCCGCGTGCATCGTTGCCACTCTTCCAAGGGGTCAAGGTACGTAGTCTAAACAGCGTGTTTACTTTTACTGAATCTATTTTAATATTTATTTTGTTTGAAAATTTCATTTTTTTATTTTACGGGTTTTAATTTAATATTTAATTTTTCTACACTTCTATGGACTGGTATTACTTGTGGTTTCATTTATTGCATATAATGTGGATTCCTTACTGTATGTTACTTGTTGAAGTGCGGATACAGGTGTAAGTAGCCAGTTAAACCTAGGTAGGTTTAGCCGGCTACTACTAGGTGCAGCCTATTGCGGTCGGTTAAACTTAGGTGTATTATGTGAGCAGCGGAAGAGCAGTAAGTATGCGGTGTGCGGTGTGGGCTGCGGTGTTGCTGACAGGCGTGCACGATGGCGAGGTAGGGCGCGGGCGAGGCGGGGTGCAGCGCGCGCTGCAGGTCGGGCTGCAGGCGCGTGAGGCGCGCCAGCAGCGCCCAGCCCGCCGCCGCGCCGCTCGGGCAGCGGAGCAGCAGTAAGTATGCGGTGTGCGGTGTGGGCTCACGTGTTGCTGGCAGGCGTGCACGATGGCGAGGTAGGGCGCGGGCGAGGCGGGGTGCAGCGCGCGCTGCAGGTCGGGCTGCAGGCGCGTGAGGCGCGCCAGCAGCGCCCAGCCCGCCGCCGCGCCGCTCGGGCAGCGGAGCAGCAGTAAGTGTGCGGTGTGCGGTGTGGGCTCACGTGTTGCTGGCAGGCGTGCACGATGGCGAGGTAGGGCGCGGGCGAGGCGGGGTGCAGCGCGCGCTGCAGGTCGGGCTGCAGGCGCGTGAGGCGCGCCAGCAGCGCCCAGCCCGCCGCCGCGCCGCTCGGGCAGCGGAGCAGCAGTAAGTGTGCGGTGTGCGGTGTGGGCTCACGTGTTGCTGGCAGGCGTGCACGATGGCGAGGTAGGGCGCGGGCGAGGCGGGGTGCAGCGCGCGCTGCAGGTCGGGCTGCAGGCGCGTGAGGCGCGCCAGCAGCGCCCAGCCCGCCGCCGCGCCGCTCGGGCAGCGGAGCAGCAGTAAGTGTGCGGTGTGCGGTGTGGGCTCACGTGTTGCTGGCAGGCGTGCACGATGGCGAGGTAGGGCGCGGGCGAGGCGGGGTGCAGCGCGCGCTGCAGGTCGGGCTGCAGGCGCGTGAGGCGCGCCAGCAGCGCCCAGCCCGCCGCCGCGCCGCTCGGGCAGCGGAGCAGCAGTAAGTGTGCGGTGTGCGGTGTGGGCTCACGTGTTGCTGGCAGGCGTGCACGATGGCGAGGTAGGGCGCGGGCGAGGCGGGGTGCAGCGCGCGCTGCAGGTCGGGCTGCAGGCGCGTGAGGCGCGCCAGCAGCGCCCAGCCCGCCGCCGCGCCGCTCGGGCAGCGGAGCAGCAGTAAGTGTGCGGTGTGCGGTGTGGGCTCACGTGTTGCTGGCAGGCGTGCACGATGGCGAGGTAGGGCGCGGGCGAGGCGGGGTGCAGCGCGCGCTGCAGGTCGGGCTGCAGGCGCGTGAGGCGCGCCAGCAGCGCCCAGCCCGCCGCCGCGCCGCTCGGGCAGCGGAGCAGCAGTAAGTGTGCGGTGTGCGGTGTGGGCTCACGTGTTGCTGGCAGGCGTGCACGATGGCGAGGTAGGGCGCGGGCGAGGCGGGGTGCAGCGCGCGCTGCAGGTCGGGCTGCAGGCGCGTGAGGCGCGCCAGCAGCGCCCAGCCCGCCGCCGCGCCGCTCGGGCAGCGGAGCAGCAGTAAGTGTGCGGTGTGCGGTGTGGGCTCACGTGTTGCTGGCAGGCGTGCACGATGGCGAGGTAGGGCGCGGGCGAGGCGGGGTGCAGCGCGCGCTGCAGGTCGGGCTGCAGGCGCGTGAGGCGCGCCAGCAGCGCCCAGCCCGCCGCCGCGCCGCTCGGGCAGCGGAGCAGCAGTAAGTGTGCGGTGTGCGGTGTGGGCTCACGTGTTGCTGGCAGGCGTGCACGATGGCGAGGTAGGGCGCGGGCGAGGCGGGGTGCAGCGCGCGCTGCAGGTCGGGCTGCAGGCGCGTGAGGCGCGCCAGCAGCGCCCAGCCCGCCGCCGCGCCGCTCGGGCAGCGGAGCAGCAGTAAGTGTGCGGTGTGCGGTGTGGGCTCACGTGTTGCTGGCAGGCGTGCACGATGGCGAGGTAGGGCGCGGGCGAGGCGGGGTGCAGCGCGCGCTGCAGGTCGGGCTGCAGGCGCGTGAGGCGCGCCAGCAGCGCCCAGCCCGCCGCCGCGCCGCTCGGGCAGCGGAGCAGCAGTAAGTGTGCGGTGTGCGGTGTGGGCTCACGTGTTGCTGGCAGGCGTGCACGATGGCGAGGTAGGGCGCGGGCGAGGCGGGGTGCAGCGCGCGCTGCAGGTCGGGCTGCAGGCGCGTGAGGCGCGCCAGCAGCGCCCAGCCCGCCGCCGCGCCGCTCGGGCAGCGGAGCAGCAGTAAGTGTGCGGTGTGCGGTGTGGGCTCACGTGTTGCTGGCAGGCGTGCACGATGGCGAGGTAGGGCGCGGGCGAGGCGGGGTGCAGCGCGCGCTGCAGGTCGGGCTGCAGGCGCGTGAGGCGCGCCAGCAGCGCCCAGCCCGCCGCCGCGCCGCTCGGGCAGCGGAGCAGCAGTAAGTGTGCGGTGTGCGGTGTGGGCTCACGTGTTGCTGGCAGGCGTGCACGATGGCGAGGTAGGGCGCGGGCGAGGCGGGGTGCAGCGCGCGCTGCAGGTCGGGCTGCAGGCGCGTGAGGCGCGCCTGCAGCGCCCAGCCCGCCGCCGCGCCGCTCGGGCAGCGGAGCAGCAGTAAGTGTGCGGTGTGCGGTGTGGGCTCACGTGTTGCTGGCAGGCGTGCACGATGGCGAGGTAGGGCGCGGGCGAGGCGGGGTGCAGCGCGCGCTGCAGGTCGGGCTGCAGGCGCGTGAGGCGCGCCAGCAGCGCCCAGCCCGCCGCCGCGCCGCTCGGGCAGCGGAGCAGCAGTAAGTGTGCGGTGTGCGGTGTGGGCTCACGTGTTGCTGGCAGGCGTGCACGATGGCGAGGTAGGGCGCGGGCGAGGCGGGGTGCAGCGCGCGCTGCAGGTCGGGCTGCAGGCGCGTGAGGCGCGCCAGCAGCGCCCAGCCCGCCGCCGCGCCGCTCGGGCAGCGGAGCAGCAGTAAGTGTGCGGTGTGCGGTGTGGGCTCACGTGTTGCTGGCAGGCGTGCACGATGGCGAGGTAGGGCGCGGGCGAGGCGGGGTGCAGCGCGCGCTGCAGGTCGGGCTGCAGGCGCGTGAGGCGCGCCAGCAGCGCCCAGCCCGCCGCCGCGCCGCTCGGGCAGCGGAGCAGCAGTAAGTGTGCGGTGTGCGGTGTGGGCTCACGTGTTGCTGGCAGGCGTGCACGATGGCGAGGTAGGGCGCGGGCGAGGCGGGGTGCAGCGCGCGCTGCAGGTCGGGCTGCAGGCGCGTGAGGCGCGCCAGCAGCGCCCAGCCCGCCGCCGCGCCGCTCGGGCAGCGGAGCAGCAGTAAGTGTGCGGTGTGCGGTGTGGGCTCACGTGTTGCTGGCAGGCGTGCACGATGGCGAGGTAGGGCGCGGGCGAGGCGGGGTGCAGCGCGCGCTGCAGGTCGGGCTGCAGGCGCGTGAGGCGCGCCAGCAGCGCCCAGCCCGCCGCCGCGCCGCTCGGGCAGCGGAGCAGCAGTAAGTGTGCGGTGTGCGGTGTGGGCTCACGTGTTGCTGGCAGGCGTGCACGATGGCGAGGTAGGGCGCGGGCGAGGCGGGGTGCAGCGCGCGCTGCAGGTCGGGCTGCAGGCGCGTGAGGCGCGCCAGCAGCGCCCAGCCCGCCGCCGCGCCGCTCGGGCAGCGGAGCAGCAGTAAGTGTGCGGTGTGCGGTGTGGGCTCACGTGTTGCTGGCAGGCGTGCACGATGGCGAGGTAGGGCGCGGGCGAGGCGGGGTGCAGCGCGCGCTGCAGGTCGGGCTGCAGGCGCGTGAGGCGCGCCTGCAGCGCCCAGCCCGCCGCCGCGCCGCTCGGGCAGCGGAGCAGCAGTAAGTGTGCGGTGTGCGGTGTGGGCTCACGTGTTGCTGGCAGGCGTGCACGATGGCGAGGTAGGGCGCGGGCGAGGCGGGGTGCAGCGCGCGCTGCAGGTCGGGCTGCAGGCGCGTGAGGCGCGCCAGCAGCGCCCAGCCCGCCGCCGCGCCGCTCGGGCAGCGGAGCAGCAGTAAGTGTGCGGTGTGCGGTGTGGGCTCACGTGTTGCTGGCAGGCGTGCACGATGGCGAGGTAGGGCGCGGGCGAGGCGGGGTGCAGCGCGCGCTGCAGGTCGGGCTGCAGGCGCGTGAGGCGCGCCAGCAGCGCCCAGCCCGCCGCCGCGCCGCTCGGGCAGCGGAGCAGCAGTAAGTGTGCGGTGTGCGGTGTGGGCTCACGTGTTGCTGGCAGGCGTGCACGATGGCGAGGTAGGGCGCGGGCGAGGCGGGGTGCAGCGCGCGCTGCAGGTCGGGCTGCAGGCGCGTGAGGCGCGCCAGCAGCGCCCAGCCCGCCGCCGCGCCGCTCGGGCAGCGGAGCAGCAGTAAGTGTGCGGTGTGCGGTGTGGGCTCACGTGTTGCTGGCAGGCGTGCACGATGGCGAGGTAGGGCGCGGGCGAGGCGGGGTGCAGCGCGCGCTGCAGGTCGGGCTGCAGGCGCGTGAGGCGCGCCAGCAGCGCCCAGCCCGCCGCCGCGCCGCTCGAGCAGCGCGCCGCCGCGCGGTGCACGCGCGTACACGCTCGCTGCGCCACCACGACACGTTTTAAGTTAAGGATACCTCCAAGCTTCATTCAAAAATACTTTAACAAATATAACCCCGAAGAGTCCGCATATTTGGTAGAGCCACGCTGCAGTTATATTATGGTTGTAGCTTGACCGATGAAGGACCACGTTCTCACAGAATACCAGCGTAAAATAACAGCTTAATGATGCTATGTTTTGTACGCCGAGTGTAGGTGGATGCAGTTGCATTGTCACACCAGTAGGGAATGACCCCTTGTTAGTCCTCTAACAGGGGGTCATTCCCTACACGTCATCACCGATTTCGCTCAAATTTATAGGATATGCAGAACTTGGCTGGAAATGAAAATATCCGAAGTGCAAACTCCAGATGTTTTGCACCGTATAATTTACCATTTACGTTAGCGGCGAGTACGAGTTGACGTTGCGGTAAGAACTCGGGACTAGAAATTCGATGGTGGTGGGTTCGACTACCCGTGTGTAGATTTTTTTTCTCTTTTTCTCAATTTTTATATTAATCATTTTCCAATTAAACAAAGAAGTGAATAATTTTTTTTAAAAAATGACAACATATATGCCTTTTGCATATAAATAAATAAAGAATGCCTACACATTCGTGATACAACCATAACATAGCTGCAGCATGGCTCTACCACGAAAAATAAAACACAATGTATTGCACATATACCGTAATGTCCGTTCAGTAATATACATAGAAATCTTTGTTCTATTAGTATACATGGAAGTCTTTGTTCTAGCAGTATACATGAAAGTCTTTGTTCGTGTAGTATACATGGAAGGCTTTGTTCTAGTAGTATACAAAGAAGTCTTTGTTATAGTAATATACATGAGTGTTTTTCTAGTAGAATAGATGGAAGGCTTTGTCCCAGTAGTATATATAAAAGTCTACGTTCGAGTAGTATAAATGGAAGGCTTTGTTCTAGTAGTATATATTTAAGTCTATGTTCGAGTTGTATACATGGAAGTCTATGTTTTAGTAGAATATATTTAAGTCTATGTTCGAGTAGTATACATATAAGGCTTTGTTCTAGTAGTATACAAAGTAGTCTTTGTTATAGTAATATATATAAAAGTCTTCGTTCTAGTAGAATAGATGGAAGGCTTTGTTCTAGTAGTATATATAGAAGTCTATGTTCGAGTAGTATACATGTAAGGCTTTGTAATAGTGGTATACAAAGAAGTCTTTGTTATAGTAATATACACGAAAATCTTTGTTCTAGTAGTATACATGGAAGTCTTTGTTCTAGTAGTATACATGGAATTCTTTGTTCTATTACGAGGCCGACACTGAAAGTTTTTAGTACTTGGCACTCGTAAACGATATGATATAAAAAATAAATTCAAATTTTGAAAATGGAAATCTTTGCCAATATTAGTGTCTGTATTTTATTAATTTGTCATTTCTTTACGATTGCAAATTGAAAATTGTCTGTGTCACGTCAGCATGAATTTACGCGAGAAAATTTTCATACAATGATTTTTTATGACTTTCGATGTCATTTAAGTCAACAAGAAAGTTATGATCGACTTCGATTGGCCTTTCACGATGAATCCTCATCTTGTGCCACTGTTTACAACTGGTTTAATGAGTTTAAACGTGGTCTCACTAATCTCACCGATGATCTGCGTGAGGGTCGGCCTTCTACGGTGACGACTGAAGATAACATCAGTGTTGTGCGGCGTATGATAGAGACTGACAAAAGAGTGACTTGTCAGCAGATTCGGACAAGCTTAGGCATCGGCATGAGTCAAGTGCACTAAATCCTCCATGAACATTTAGCGGTCAGAAAGCTTTGTGCCCGGTGCATACCTCATAATTTGATAGAGGTCCAAAAACTCCGTCGTGTTGATTGGTGTCGTAAAATGGTTCAAAGATTTAACGGAGGTGACTCAAATGCTGTGTTCAGCATACTTACGGGTGACGAGATAGCTGAATTTATTGTTATGATCCTGAAACTAAGAGACAGTCTGCTGTCTGGGTGTTTCCTTCCGAGGAGTTGCCAACTGAAGTGAGGAGAGGTCGAAGCGTGGGAAAAAATATGGTAGCCTCGTTCTTCGGAAGGACACCTGTCCTTTTTTACTACGCAACAATTGTTTTAGAATAGAAATAGATAGAATTAAAATAATTAGATAGAAATCGAAAGACAGTTACTGCAGAGTGGTACACTAACAAATGTTTGCCACTTGTCTTGGAAAAAGTTCGGGAGAAACGATCTCGCAGTAGGATCTTCCTTCACCACGACAACGCCTCGTTGCACAGTCAAGTAATCAATTGACTACTTGGCGACGTCAGACGTGGAATTACTGGGTCACCCGCCCTATAGCCCCGACCTCACACCTTGCGATTTTTATTTATTTCCGAAAATAAAAGAAAAACTTCTAGGAAAACCTTCTATGGATGCCGAGGAAGCAGTGGCTGCGTTTCAAAATGCCGTCGAAGGGACTCCTAAGGACGAGTGGGCAAAGTGCTTTTCTCAGTGGTTCCATCGGATGCAGCTATGTATTGACGTAAATGGACACCATTTTTAAAAGATATAGTAAAACTAATAACTTGCAGTTTTTGATTTTCTAGGAACTTTCAGTGTCGTCCTCATAGTACACAGAAATGTTTTTATAATATATATTTTATACGTGGCAAAATACCAGCGTAAAATGGCAGCTTGACACTGTTGTGTTTCGTTTCTTGAATGTAGAGTACTGGAGACCCATCTTACTGGAAAAGAGACATTCCATCTTAGTCCTCACGGGGGACGACGCATTTGCATTTTGATTCTTTATTGACGATAAGTGTAAATGTCTATGGGTCACAGTGACCACTTACAATCAGGTGGACTTTGTGCTCGTTTGTCACCCTATCCTATTAAAAAAAAATTAATTATATTCAAGTACCTGTTATTGCAAACAATTTTTAGATAAAGGCATTGTTTAAATTAATTTTAGGTTATAGAAATAAGATATTAAATATAAAATACAGGGTATTTTTGGAACGCTCCCGAAAACTAAGACAGGCGACAGCACCAAGTATACCATTGATCATGGGTCACAAATAAATTTGATCCTGATGAAAAAAAAATCATATTTTTACAACGTTTTATTAGCTTTATTCACGCGCCATCATGTTAGTACAGCTAAATGAATCGATAATTTCATAAAAAAAATCATGAAAATACTGAAACATAAAACCAGCAGTGGAAACTGAATTGATATCACCTGACTAATGGAGGTTAATGTACACGCGAACGGTGAAAAAAGAACGCTGGCCTTGAACTTGGGCACTGAGCGATTTATCACATATAGGTACGAAGGGGCGCGACGGGGGAACAATCCACCAGTATTACTGTGCCTGCATGCTATTGGTTCCCGCGCTTTGTTCGCTCCAAAAATACAGTCGCATACACAGCTTACTTTGCGACTCGCGACGATGTTTTAAAAAGGAAGGAAACAAAAATTATTTATATCTATTGTTTTATGACTAAACTAGTGAACGAAAAGGTAAATATGATAGGAGAAGGTGAATGGGGAAAATTGTGCAGTAAAGTGTTGAGGGAGAATACCGAAAAAATTACCATGTGATCGACCTGATGACGGAAGCTCAAGCGAAGATGAAAGTGATGATGAAGTAGCATCCAGTAACACCAACACACCATCAACATCTGACTTTCATGTGACCCAAGACGTCATAATGGACGGCGTGTCACCCTTAGCTTAAGTTTTTTTTTGTTACAAACTACTTTATATTTTTCGATAGAAATAACAAATAATGCTCAAGTAAACATTATCCATTTTTAATTCCTACCTCTTCCAAAGTTCTAAGTAAATAGTAAAACACCTATTATGATTCTACAATTAAACAATTAATTACTATAGTATTATAAAACAATAGCCCAATACCATGTAGTACTTTAGAACGCGACTGTACCCACACTCTCTCCGCTGTCGACCTGTATCTAGCTCGGTACGAAACAATGCTGCGGTCGTAAGAAAAAAGGGCGCATCTAACAATTTTTGAATAAATGAGTTAAATATACCATGGACTCATGATAAGAAGGCGCATCTACTAAATTTTTTTAATATTCACAAATATCAATATTTTAGAAATTATCGTAAGAATTTTAGACGTAACTGTTGACCACAGATGACATCTTTTTATTAGAAAAGACTTATACAAATTCAACATAAAAGAAAAGACTTATTTAACCAGTGGCTACGTCATCTTTAACAATATTTGCATCGATTACTTAAATTTCAATTATTCTTGTCTTTTTATTCTATATCTTATTATTAAGAGCTTATATCTTATTACTAAGAGCTGGTGTTTCACATGTGGTCCCATATAAATTTGATCGAGGTCAGACCAATAGTTTTTGAGTCATCCTTAATTATTTTTATTAAAGTCGGTTGTACAAAATTTTTAATTATTATCGTAGTAAGTCTTGTATGATATCCCCTTTAAAATCATTACTCAAGAGTTGCGGGTTGTTATTTTTTGTGTCTGACTACCAATGCTTTTCTAATATTTACTAAGAAAAAAGTAGTAAATTACTATTAGCGTCCTTTCTACTTCAAATGACCTTTCCAAAATATGTAAAAATGTTAAATGAATGGCAGTTTTTTTTTATTTATTAGGTTGGGAAGACGCAAATAGTTATATGCGTCTTTCCTTCGATGTTTTTGTGTTGCCAGGTGTATTTTTTAATCTAAGATGAAAAGGAAAATTCGTTTTATTTAAATAAATAAACAAATTATCAAAAAAATAAGTTCGTCCTTAAAATCTTCATGTCTCTACGTACATATTTCAATTTTCATATAGATACCTTTTACTATACTTTAGACACGGGGTCTGAAAGAAAAATTCATAAATTTATTTTTTATTTCCATTTTACGTTTTTGTTAGTTGCGTCCTTCTTTATTATGACGGCAGAATGTAACCCGGCCGGCTCGTGTCGCCTCGCGCTGTGACGCAGTAAGTTTCAGTTTATTCGTCGGGGTTCGTTATTAATTGTAGTTTTTGAAACAGTTCCGTGTTGATTTTGTACACGCGTGCGCGAGCGACAGTTCAATCGTTTTCTTTATTAAATTGTTAATACTTGTGATTACCTGTTGGTATTATTCTTGTTGTTACGTTTTTTGTTTTAATAATGCTTAACGCGTACGTTTATAGTGATTATGAATACGGCAACATGTTAGGTATCCGAACCTAGGTACACGAAGTATCGCTAAATAAATTGTTAAGACGTCGGGATGGAACAAGTGTGTCATACTGTGCAGTGCACAAAGTGTTGAAGCGTAACCGAATGCGCCCATACAAGTTGCACAAAGTGCAAGCTTTAGTTCCCGGCGATCACGACCGCCGACGAGTTTTCTGCCGTTGGTTATTATACCAGCAACAACGTGTGCCTGGTTCCATTGAGCACATTATCTGGCCGGATGAGTCGACATTTACCAGAAACGGCCTGTGGAACCGAAGAAATACACACGTGTATTCAGAGGTTAACCCGCACGTTGTTCGACAAACCGGGCACCAAACCCGATGGTCGGTTAACTTATGGGCAGGTTTATTTAAGGATCGCATACTGGGACCAGTGTTTCTGACAGAGCGACTGAACGGACAGCGATACCTAAACTTTATAAATGAACAGTTGGTTGACATTTTAAACGACCTATCGTTGGCTGAATATCGCCGCACATGGTTCCAACATGATGGTGCCCCTCCACATTTTGTGAGGTTCGTCCGTGAGTGCCTCAATGAGCTATTTGATGATCGCTGGATCGGCAGACTAGGACCACACGCTTGGCCACCTCGCTCACCAGATCTGACTCCGTTAGACTTCTTTTTGTGGGGTATGTGAAAGAAAGGGTTTTTAATCGTGAATGTGATAGTGCTGAAGAAATGCGCCAAAGGATCGTGGATGCTTTCGAGAAACTACGTACGGACTGTGTCGAAGACCACACGATGATGCCCCGCCTGCACCCAAATCTACCTTGAAATGAATGGAGCACAATTTGAGCCGCATCTCATAAGACCACGGAGGATTTAGAGCGGTAAGCTGTTTCATACCTATTTTTTTTTAAATAACTTAGTACTAGACTAATCTGAATAGGTACATAACTGAATACATGAGAATAATAAACATACCTACACGATGAATAAAAACTCATGACTCCAACCTTGGTTACATTTCATTTAAGTATTTTTTCATTAGCGGGGAATCGAACCAGTTATTTGGGTTATTTAACCTGTAAATTCGGATTAAAGTGGCTAAGTGGAGACAAGCACAGTGGCAAAATAGTAGGTTAAGTAGATAAGTTAGGTATTTAGACAAGTGTTGTAAATTATTAGATATTGTGGTATGGCCCGCTAGTTGCGGGCCGCGCGAATTTGCGTTCGCGCGTACATTGACCTTTCAGTCAGGTGATATAAATTCAGTCATTCCACTGCTGGTTTTATGTTTCAGTATTTTCACGATATATTTTATGGAATTATCGTTTCATTTAGCTGTACTAACATGATGGCGCGTGAATAAAGCTAATAAAACGTTGTAAAAAGATGATTTTTTTTTCATCAGGATCGAATTTATTTGTGACCCATGATCAAAGGTGTACTTGGTGTTGTCGCCTGTCTTAGTTTTCGGGAGCGTTCCAAAAATACCCTGTATATGTATAGGCGTATATACGTACGTCGACGTCGGCTTGGAGCGCGGCGAAGCAGTCGCGCAGCGTGGCGGCGAGCAGCGCGGGCAGGCGCGCCAGCGGCACGAGGCCGAGCGCCGCGCGCTGCTCGTGGCGCGCCAGCCGGCACACGGCCGCGGCCAGCGACCCCGCCACCTCCGCCTCGCGCTCCTCCGCCGCGCACGACTCCTCGCCGTCTGCACCCGCGCACCCGCGCCGCGCCATATATTATATACCAATAGCTATACGCTACTACTCGAACGCTTTTATTGTTATTAGGTAAAAATACATAAGCGTTTTGTAAACGCGGCAAAACTGTAAATGCTTTACTTTTATAAAATTACTGTCCACTTAACACAATGGAATCGGTTGTTATCATTTTATTTATCAATATCATCTTAAATTATCATTTTAGGTACTAAAAAAGCAGACAGCTCCTACATTTTTTGATCCTTCGAGGCTTTGAACTATCATTTTAGCACTTTATCATTTTTTTGGTTCTTCGAGTACTTATTATCATTTTTGAGACTTTGCGGTCTTATGATTTTCGCATACGATTTGAAACATTTAGGACCACGTATGAAAAATATTAGTTGGAGCATTAAGGACTACGTATGAAAAATTATCAATATCATCTTAAATTCCAGAAGTCGCTGGTTCAAATCCAGCTCGAAGGACCAAAAAAAATATAAATGTCCACTTAACACTCCATGGAATCGATCGTGATCATTTTATTTATTATCAATATCATCTAAAATTATCACTTTAAATACTGTAGACAACTCACACATCCTCTTGTCAGACAAAACCCACTTTCATGTTGATTCATGATATTGGAATGCGGAGCAGCCATCGTCGAAATTTCAAAAACCACTTCATTGCCATATAGTTAGACTTAGGGCAAAAATATCATTTAGAACAGAGGTCGGCAAAACTGTGACGAGCGCTTGCAACAACTTTTTAATGCACCCTCATAAAATCACGTCGTTTCTTTGAATGAGCCGACTTTCGGCTTTCAGCACAAGTCGGCAAGCCCTTTGTAACGGCAGGGCGTAATAAAACGTGCAAACTATAATATAACTATTAAACCGAGCCTTCCCCCCCCCCCCGCCCCGAGCCCGCATGCGCCCGAGTGAGTCCGTGCGCTGCAATACTCAGAGTTAAGTAGCCGCATTTTTGTGTTGTTAGTTTTAGCTACATATTTGTAGACCTGAATTTTATATTGTCTTTTTAACATGAGTAAAAGACCAAGGTATTTACTATTTTAATAAAGATTGTGAAGAACAGTTCTTTTTTATTGAGTTTAACGGAAAAGTATTTGTTATTATGCAACGCCAGTGTCGACGCAGTGCCTGAAAAAGTAACATTGAAAGACACTTCAATACTCTGCATGCGTCGTGTAATAGTACTTTCCACCAAATACTGAAATCCGGAAGATCTGCGATTTGAAGACAAACTAACAAAACAACAAAGTTTTTTCACCAGGCCATTTCAACTTTCGAAAAGTGCTACTATTGCATTTTTAAAGATTTCTCATTTGTTGACTAAGAAGAAAGGGCCTTTTGTAGACGGTAAAATGATAAAGGAAACGGTCTTAACATAAGCTGCAGATTCTGTGCTTCAGAATTTTAAAAACAAAACTAAAATTATTACGGCTATTGAAGCGATACCATTCTCAGAAAGAAAAGTGTCGAGAAGAATCGAAGTTATCGCTACTGATATATTAAAAGATGCAACTTTTTTTCTCTTCAACTCGACGAGTGTACCGACATTTCCGACACTGCACAGCTATGTGTTATTATTAAAATGGTATTTAATGATTTTACAACAAAGGAAGAATTTTTGAAGTTGTTACCGCTCAAAGGTCGCACACAAGGTAGAAGATATTTACGATGCATTTACAAACTTTGCAGAAGAAAGTCATTAAAAAAGCCATTAAAAATACCATTGAAAAAGTTAGCTGCCATAGTTACTGATGGTTTACCTGCAATGATAGGCAATAAAAATGACTTCGTTGCGCATTACCATTGCATCATCCACCAAGAGGCGTTGTGTGCCAAAATTCTTCGTTTTGAACACGTCATGAAGATTGTCGTAAAGTTAGTTAACTCTAATAGGACTGCGGCAATGCAACACCGTTTGTTTCGGCAGCTTCTGCAAGATGAAGATGCTGAGTACACAGACTTGATATTGCATACGGAAGTTCGATGGCTGAGTAGGGGTAGTGTTTGTATGCTTTCTCAGTTTAGTAAACGAAATGAAACAGTTCATGGCAATGAGTAAGTAAGATTATCCACAGTTGACTGATCCCTCATGGCTTGCAGGATTGGGGTTTCTCAATGATATAACAATAACACTGAATGAACTGACCCTGGAAATGCAAGGAAAAAATCGTCATGTTGCGTAAATGGTTGAATCGGTGAATAGATTCAAAACCAAACTGAATCTATGGAAATCCCATTTACTGAGAAATTTAACTTCACACTTCCCAAATCTAAAGAAAATGTTCGATTACATGAATGTATGTGAAAAGATATTGATACAATTTCGTTTGCCCCACAATTAGATACACTTTTGGACGAATTTAATTCACGTTTCCAACAATTTAAAAACCTTGAATATATATTGGAGTTCATAATGAACAAAGGTGATGTTTAGGAAAAGATCAAAAACTATTTTGGCATAGAAAGTTACGATGAATTAGAGGTGGAAATAATAACCATGGAGAACGACTTGAGCCTGAAATCATAAATGAGGAACGAAAATTTTTTGGAATACTGTTGATGAAAATAAATAACCAAATTTTAAGGGCATTATCTCTAAAGATATACGCGTATAGTACGGCAACGTACGCATGCGAATCCATATTTTCAACAATGAATCACTTAATATCAAAATATAAAAGCAGAACAACAAATGTAAATTCAGACCATTGTATGAGGACTGGTACTTCAAATTATGAGCCAGATTTCATCAAGTTGTCAGAAGAAATGCAAAGGCCAAGGATCACACAAATAATTGGTGACTAATTGGTGTAATAACTAGTGACTATGTATTTGACTGTATATATGCCTCATGTAATAAACATCTTGTTTTGTGTTTGTGTAATATTTTTGTTTGCGCCAAACGCTAAAATTTAATAACAACATAACGGGGCGCGTCGGCGCGCTCCTCCGATGTACCTGGCACCGGCCGGTACGCGGCTCGCACGCGCCTCCCCGCTCATGCGCCGGACGTGTGGGAGATCGGGCAGTTTTTTGTCGCCTGCGGCGGCAGGGTCGTAGTATTACAGTAGCTTGAGTGCAGCGGCGCCGTCGTAACGTTAACGTATTTTGTGGTGACCGCGGCAGCGATTTCGTGAGAGCAGTTTTGGTTTTAAGGTCTAGATTTTTAGTATTTGTGCGCGTTACTTCGCTTCTTAATTTGTGGTTTCGTGAAGACAGCCTCGGATTAGTTTGTCTAAGTTTATTGCAGTGAATCTACTAGCACGGCGTATTCTCCCCCGGTATAACCTCTATATCGTGTCGGGTTTTGCTAGCAAGTTTTTATGCACCGACGAGGATTTTGTTGAGTTTAGAAAAATAGATTGATGGCGCGGATCAGTTAATTGTTTAGGAAGTTAACATTGATTGCGATCAACGTCTGAATTTGTGTGTTGTACGCGCCTAATTTACTACTGAATATTTGGTTTTCATGTAGACCGCCGCGAATTTGAAATAATTTGTTTCTGAGTGAAAACGGAAGTGAACTTTGGTCCCCGTTCATTAGTCGTGCCGCGTGTTACGTTTTTGCATTGAGATATAATGTACTACGTACTAGAGAAGACGCCTCAACTCGATTGTTTGTAACACGCGTTAGAGTGCGCGCTCTCAAACTCACTTAGTCTGTGTCAAGCGGTTGTTGCAACGTGAGAAGTTAGAGTGAAGAATTATTTTTAAATTAATATGCCTTCGTGTGCATTGAGATACTGTTCAAACTACTCGAGAAATATAAGGAAAAGTCAAGGAGTGAATTTTCACCAGCAATTTAAACTTATTATTATCTTTAAAACACGCTTAATTTAATTATATTTTATCAACTGCAACGTATAAGTGAATGTCAAAAAGTAAAACATTTTTATGCGCAGACTTGATACTATCGACGTATAATGTTAAGTAATTATGAACAGTAAAATATTTATATATAATCACGGTAGGAAATGTTAATGCATTAAAATTAATATTTTTTATTATTATTTTTATTTCATGATTTCCTCGGCTGTGTCATGAAACAAAATAATCATGCATCAAATTTGTTCAGAAGAATTGCAGCGAAGAAACGTCAGATTATTCACGCATATTTTCTGTGCAGTTCAAAAAAAAAATGACAAATACACCGCAAAAACAGGAAGAGTGTACTTCAAGAAATAAGCAGTATCATGCGACAATGTAATTATATAATTATATAACATTGCTGGGATTTTTGTTTTATTTTTTGATTAGACGACGAACGAATGTTTTGTAATGTTCAGTATATTTACGGAACTTAAGAGAGGCGGAAACCTCGGCGCGCGAGTCATTCTAGTATATGACGGTTTGTTAATACTGTAACACTAGAATTTTTGCAGGCTTCCCAAATAACTTGTATCTTTTTTCAGCCAACAAAATGTGGTGAAAAGAAAGTATCAGAACCGTTGTCTGAATCAATAAGTAGTACAAATTCAATTTTAGATAGTCCGAGCAAAATTGTACTTAAAAATACGAAGCCTAAGCTTTTAAATATAGTTCTACCTTAATAACGGAATCAATAATTCTAGGTTATTATAAAAAGAATAAAATATAAGCACGTTGTAATATTGTGTTTGTATTTAATAGCAAGGAATCTGCAGCTAGAAAGAAACTTACTGAGAAATTTAAGACAAAATATTTATCTAAAGAAAAAATGTACTTCTTACAAATCAATTGTAGAAAATTTGAAACATAAATTCGGTCTCAACTTAAATGCTGAGATTGATTTAATGGGTAAAGCAGAAGTTATGGAGTAACATAAATCTTTAACGAAAAAGAATAAACAGAGCTCGCATTATTAATTATACACTGCATGCACCTTTACGTAAATTCGCATTGATTTTACACTATTATTCACCAGCTGCGTATAAATACGTTAGAGAATGCTAGAAAAGTAGTAATAATGATCTTTGAAAATAAATGCATATTTTTATATTCTACATATTTACCTTTTAAAGTATTAAATAAAATATAATTAAAATGTAATTCTGACATAATATTATGTTACATTATATTAACACATTATGCAATATAAATAACAATTTAAAAAATTGTACTCGATACAATTTACAATACAATCTAAATAAACATTTACTTATTACATACTGATCATTGTACCTACGTATATAATCTATGATGACAAAAACCGCGCATGCGCGACTTTACTATTTACCGCGCATGCGCGAAGACAGAGTAGTGCATAGTTTTTGTTCGGAATAGCTTCTCTAGTACGTAGTACATTATATCTCAATGCGTTTTTGATTAGGATTACCGGGGATTTAGTTGAGTTTGAAGTTAATTAAATGTACAATAAAGTTGATAAACTGAAATAGTAAAATGAAGACAGAAGTTGTTAATTGGTGATCGCCCCCTTTTGAGAGATCTCACACCTTTGGAGTAGAGGCGGCGCCGGTGGATCTGCAGTCAGACTTCAACGGTCCAGTCAGGTCAAACCATAATACACACCACTAAACACCACTTTACATGCACCGATACCTACCTACGGCCTGACCGAGCCTTGGGAGAGTCTTCGCGTCAGAACCAGGTACGTCTTATTTATTTACCTAGCCTATCTCTGTTGTGTAGGTCAATTGTCCATAGGCATTTTGAGCCCCGTCCTCTGCTGCCCGTCGATTGGGCTACTCATGGGCCCTAGTCCAGTCTACCTTGGTTTGGGCAGCTCAGGGTGTGTACAATTTTATTTGCGTTAACCATTCATGCGCCATTATTTTAGAACAAGCCAAGGTTGCCGACCCCTGAGCTAGATGTAAGATCTGACCTTATTTTTTTGAAAATGATCGCGGTTAAACTTGGAGCTTGGCAAATTAAATGAAAACGTTCGTCAATAAATGGTGGCGATTACATTGGCGACTTGCAGGAAAGTTTTCGAAATTCTGAAATTTCGTTTGGAAGAATGCTTCCGCTAAGCAGGAGGGCATTTAGACGAGGTCATTTTCAAAAAAAAAATTAAACATGTGCATTTATAATTTAAAAATTAATTAACTCTTTCCAATAAAACCTGTATTTTTTATTTATTCTTGAAAAGTGAATTTTCTTATAGCCCATCCTGTGTGATGCGTTTCCGCAAAGAAAAACCCCCATTTTATTTACTTTCTATAAATTGCACAAAAGCAACTTTTTATTTCTAAAATACAATTTAAATACATATATTCTCTTACAAGTCTCATTCAAAGACCGCCGGGGACCGAGTGCAAGCCCGGTTGACTGCTCCAACGTCTGCGAAGCTTTCAACATCAACTTGTTCGCGCGCTTCTCTAATCTAGAAAACAATGATTACTCAAAATAATTATTTGTGATATTTTTGATAAAGAAAACCCATTCCAGAATACAAACTTCATACGAACTACACGCAATAGTTCATTAGACACAAACTACAAATACAAGGAATACACTAAAACCCGACTTCAAAGAAACAAAGAAAATAAAATAATTTCCATATAATAACTTGAGCGTTGGGGAAAAAGAACATACAGTTAAACTATACCTCTTCCATTTGGAAGAAGGATAAAAATGAGGAAATTGACTGCAGTGATCTATTTACTAATAGAATGCCACTCTCATGAGGATACACTTCAATAAAGCATTTAGCATTTTATTAGTAATAACCCTATTAAATGTAGCCTGTTTGGACGAATCTATCGACTTATCGCACCCACACGGTTACAAGAAAGTAGGCAAAAATACGAACATGGAGCCGTAAGCCATTCTCCTGAGGTAGTCGGGTAATTATTATACAGGTAGTTCTAAAACTTAACGTCAAGTTCAGACGAACAGATATTACGTGAGTTAATGACTGTTCGGGAAAGAAAATAAAAAAGCCTGAACCTTGGAAACATTCAAACATGGTTTTATTCACAAAAATATGCGTGTCAAATGTGGTTCTATTTTGAAATTCTTAATTTGGCTTATTTTTAAAATAACTTGCCAAAGTCACTACAAAAAAGTGTACTGGATAAATGTGACAAATAATTAATTGTAATGATTTTTGAAAACGGAAAATATTTAAAAAAATATATAGTCTGTTTTGCTTAGATACGGTCACCTTTGTGTCGCGCCGCCTTGGCACGTGCCGCATTTTATTAAAGGCACCGCCACGACATCAAAGGACGCCGCGTGTAGCGTACACCCGAAGGAGAATTTGGCATTTTAAAACGAAGCGCCAAAGTGAAAGGTTCTTTGCTACCAAACTTGTTTTTAATATTTATATTCGTATTTTATTACAATAACCATAAGAACCTTAAGATAAAAACAGAAAAACATTTATTTAACAAATACAGCAAAAAAATTATAAAATAAAAGCAAAATAATAGTTCGCCTCCAGGTGTACCGACACTATCTTTACGAACAGACTATACCGTAAACATTACTCCGAAATAACTGGGTATATTTAGCATTATGTAAAGTAAACGAATCGGCGTGAAAAAAAAAAATCGTTTACAAAATCCAAATAATTGGCACAGGTGCATCGATTTTAACAATTGACGGAAATACCTAAATCTCAAAACAGATTAATGTTTTATTCACTATTCTAATCAGCAATAAACCGGCGTATCCTTCTTTGATACACGTTGAGTGTAGCATAATGATACCAAAAGTTCACTGCTAAACATATTCCTCGCCTATAGATTGCCTCGTTAGATATTTGCCACAGCCGCCACGCTTGACATGCGGTTTGGCAGACGCAGATTTTTATTATTTTCAGGTGTTATCAGAAAGATGCTGCTGTTCATCTTCTGGTTTAGTTTCCCTCTGTCGTTTCTTATGACACCCACGGGACGACATGGGATAGTGGATGATCTTGTGCCGCCACTACACGGCAACAACGATATAAAATAAAAATGAACTCACAAAATATAGAAACAACCAAAGTGTTAAAACTTTAATACTAAAACTAGATGTTGAAGTATTTTTATATATTATTTGGTTTATTCAATTGTTTTTAAAGTATACGTCTATAATTTGAGTAGCTATTACAAAAATACAAAAAAAGTTAAATAGTTTAAAATTTACTTACACTTTTTGCAATTTACTTGTCTTCTTTGTACTATCAGATCGATGGAGTTGATTTTTGGATTTCTGAAAGAAAGAAATATATTGACAGTTTATGTCTAAAACATCAAATCCCATAGTTGATAAATCCTTATAAATAATGAAAAAAGTTTATGTGCCGGCCATCTCAGAACAAAAAAAAAAGATATAAATCGATAAACGTCGTCGTAACGTCGATAAACAATCAAAATGCAGATGCGTTGTCACTCGTGAGGACTAAGATTGAATGCCTCGTTTCCAGTAAAAAGGGTCTCCGGTTTTCTACACTCACCATAAGAAACACAGCAGCATTAAGCTGCTATTTTACGCTGGTATTCTGTGAACGCGAGGTCCTTCCACGGTCGAGACGACCGACTTGTGCCACAACCTAAATATAACTGCAGCTTGGATCTATCGCGTATACAACGTACACCTCAAGTGACGCCAAAATTATGCTCAACTTACTGTAAGAACACGCACTCACGCACACATATGCATCTAAAACTGTGATGATGGTTATCGTGATTAAAAATTAATTAAAGTGATTTATATGTGTATATATAAAAACTAAAAATACATCTATACAGATGTTTGATTAAACGTGATCGCTTACCATAAGCGGTGATGCGGCCATAGACCTTGACCTCAGGTAATCCTTGAAGGCATTGAAAGAGCTCTTAGCGGCGGGTGCCCGTATAGCCAGCAGAGGTCCAGCAGGTGGTCTGCCAGCTGCACTGAGCCAGGCCGCGGCCGCGCGCATGGTTTCCAACGCGGTGCCCGAAGTGGATCCACTGCCACTAACGCTTACACTGTCCACGCTAGAGTCTGGCAAATTTAAAATCACTTACTATAACACAGTAATCGCTTATACATATTGATAATTTGCATACCAAACTATTTGATGAACACGGAACTAAATTTGGATTTATTTAATCATGGATAGACTTGTCTTAGAGACATGGATATACTATGATTTAATGTCATCCTAGTCATAGGTCAAGGTGTCAAAATTTTAATTTCCCTTTTTTCTATTGGATCTATTATTATTTTCGAAACCATTTAATATACTATGTTTATCTTTACATATATAATTCCGTGTGTATGTGACTGAACTGCTAAACGGTATTGGACCGATTTTGACAATTTTTTTGTGTTTGAGTGGGTCCCTGGATGGTTTGGATTCACAACTGGACCCGGTAGATGGTGCTGTTGTAGAGATCTAGAAATCACTCGTGTGAAGCTGGAACATATCGCTAGTGTAATATATATAAACCTTAAAAAATTACTTCATACAAAGAAGACAATTTGACATGAGTTTCTTTCCTTCAACGTTTATTGTCCAGTCAGAGGAACCTAATTTCGAAACGGTAGTAGTACATATGGAGAAAATAAAATATTTGACAAAGGAAACTTCGAACTTCTTATATTAATTAATTTCCCAACCAAGTCGATCAATTTGTGTTGCCCATAATAAAGTTGTAGCATGGCTCTACTACATAGAGTGGTAATGGTGGTAAATGGTACTAATTTGGAAAATACTTAATAAAACTTATGTTTAGCAGCAAAATTTATACAAATCATGATTAAAATATCTGAAAGAATCAAACAATTACCTACCCGTTACAGCCTATTAAAGTCCACTTCAGCAGTGGACTTTAATAGGCATAGAACTCGAAACATCTTCGATATAAAGAGTGACGCGCAGGCAACTAACTTGGATCAGCCATTCCACTAGTCTTAATTGGAGTTGTGATTGTATCAATTGTACTTATTGTAGTAACTGTATTGTGGGATCACGATGGGAAAAGCCTACCCTATATCAGCGTTGCTGTTGGTTTACATACCATCTATTTTGGTGTTGTCGGATATTTTATTATAACTGCTTACTAAGGAATAATTCTGTTTTTCTATTTTGGTGTTGTCGGATATTTTATAATAACTGCTTACTAAGGAATAATTCTGTTTTTAATCAATTTTGAAAGTAATTTCTAATCTTTCATTTATGAATAAATGCAAAATATAATGGTCTGAGAGTGCTGAAACAAATTAATGTGTAAACTGAGTAAATAAAAACTGTTATACCTTCTTCTAAGGCAATCATGTCCATAAGAGTAGTTGGGGACAGAGGTCTTGTGTTACGACTAAGTAACTCTTCAAAAGCATTCTCCAGTTTTGACACACCAGTATTGTATAATTGGTTCTGTAATAAGGTTTTATTTTATAACAGGTTATTATGGTATCATAATTTGGACTTATCCTAAAAGCATACTTACTATATTCTCCAACTCCACACTTTGGGGATTGTTCTTATTAAAATAATTCTGTGCCTCTGATAATTTATCTAGAGCCTGTAAAAATAGTGTTTATAGAACATAAAGGCTAAACCAAAAACATTTGTAATCAAGAAACTACAAACAACCTCTAAATATATGTTCAAAGACTCTGTTGATGATGTGTGCGGTCCAGCTTGAATAAGGTCAGCCAATTCTCTAGACACCATGTAGTAGTTTATCACATGATCCAGAGCCTTCACTGTGCGTTCCATATCTAGAGGGGAAAAAATCAGCCAAATTAAATTAGGCACCTGTTCTAAATAAGACGTCACAGGTAATAGTAGTAATTATCTGTAGTTAATGTATTCATAAAAAAATTAAATCTCACTTTAAAAGTAGACTTGTAGTAGCGGTGTATATATCTTAACCTATATCATCCCGTAGGTGTCATAAGAGGCGACATGGGGAAACGGGGAGGAGATGAGCAGCATCTTCCTAAAGACATTTGGACAATAATAAAAATGTTTTGTCAATTTTCATAAAAAAAACTACCTATTATATTTTTTATAAGATATTTTATCAGTTTTCATAAAAACTACCTATTGCACATTTCATAAGATGTTATATCAGATTTCATAAAAAATTGATTTCGTAAAAAAAATACTGCATATTTTTCAGATAAAATGTAGCTTAAATGATTTATTGCATTGCTTTTAACTTATTTTAGTAGTTTTCTAGTTTCATCACAATTGGTTCAATTCTGAAGATTAACCTGGATAGACAGACAGGCAGACAGACAAAATAAAAATAAAAAAAGGTAAGCCAGTTATTACAGACAGGACACATCAATTTTATTTAAATGTATTAAATATATTTTGTAATTTTTAAGGCTAAAAGCCGAAGTGCAGATACACCTAGGTTTAGCCGGCTACTACTAGGTGTAGCCTATTGCGGTTGGTTAAACTTAGGTGTATAATTCATAAATTAGATAAATGTCTGTGGCTTGGGGTGGCCCTTGGCCACTGCACCTTAACCTACTGTCGCTGAATAGAATAGTATAGAATAATTTTTTATTCAATATAGATCACATGTGTAATTCTTATTGAAAGTCATTTTTTACTTTACCACTGGTTCGAAAAAATACCTCTGTCCTGGGAAGAACCAATTAATGGTTGTACAAACTATATAAGTACAAAATTTATTTTAGAAACAGCTTGGATGCGACCACCTTATTCCCAGGGGTTATTATCAACCATGTATTCATTTATACTATAACTAGCTGTTCCCCGCAACTTCGCCCGCGTGTAATTTAGGTTTTTAATTATGTTGCACGGAACCCTAATTCTTTTCTGTGTAAGGGAAATAACCACGCGCCCTCGGCTACCGCGTTTTTTTAAAGCCGAATATTCGGCAGAGTACTCCGCGAATCACTACTCATTCCATAATTGGGACGTCAAACACCTCAGTCCCACCTGTGACCATGGGTGTTGTAAAGCACCCAAACCGTCGGAAATTAATAAGTTTAATTAAACACGATGGAATCCATAAAATTAGTTTCATTTAATGTATAATGTTCGGTAAATATAAGAATCATAATTTTAAGAAACCTTCTCCTTTTTTTGAAGTCGGTTGAAAACTAGGCATACTAGAGTCCAAATAACAATGAAAATAACTATGAATTCTGTTAATTTTGTCCAAAGCACCTGTCAATCCATATCAACAACTAGGTTGAGGTGCAACTACCACTGAGCTACGAACATTTATTCTCATCCCAGTTCAGTTGGCCCCAACACCCTACCTTTTCTTTTCCTTCCCTTTCACACAACAGGATACTAAAAAATGCTTACCATTGTGGAATAAACAAAATAATATCTATAGCAAGATTATGTGTGTTATAAAATGTGTATGGATACCGGGGAAGGACCACGCTATGTCATAAGTAATATCAACTTAATGTTGCTGTGTTTCATTTGGTGAGTGTAGACAACCAGAGACCCTTTTTACTAGAAACTAGGCATTCCATGTTAGTCCTCACTGGTGATAACCAGTATAAAATATCTTATTATTTCACTCAAAAACTATGGAGTTCCACATCTCGCCTTCACATGGGTGCACACCCCTATAATCTTTGAACTTACAATCAATTTAATAGATTCCTTCTAAATGAACAGCTATGATTGCAATCAACAAAATTAGGGAAATCAGCAGGAATCAACCTACATTAAATTCTAATGCAAGTGTTATATTGTAATGAAATTAATGGTTACTCCTAGCTATAAGCATGTTATAAATTGGTAATGAAATACTTGTCTACTGCCTTATTGTATTAAATTGCCAATTACTAACACACTTTGACTTTAATCTATTACTCAAAGAATTTACAATATCCACTGAAACTATAAATATGAACCTATGTTACATACTCTGATGTATATGCTGTAAGCGTGCTGTATCTCCATATAAAGGTAAGACAGCAGTCTCCAGTTGCTGCAATCTTTGCTCACAGGCACCTAGCACATTACAAACGTCACCGGCAAGGGAGGAGCTGCGATTCGCAGCTGCTTTCAACTCCTGAATGTTTGTCATCTCCTGCAATATTAAAATTGATAATGTACGCACCCACCAAACATTCTTATTCCTAATAAAGCAATAGTCAAGCAAAAATATTTGAAATCACTGCCATTTATCATGATATATTTATTTACATATAAAATAATAAGAAAATAAAACAAAATGCAGCAATTAAAGAATAATAAATTCTACATACCTTTTTCAATTTCATTTCGATCTCGAATTTTTTCTCAACGGCGTACATTGTTATCTTTTGTCAGATTCAGATTGATAAAAAATTAAAAAATATTTACAGTTTACACTCCAAACAAATAGTAACTCCACCAAAACCAAATCATAGATAAATATATATATGTAGCAAGCTAAACCAAATCTAAAAAACTACCTTTTGACATTGACACTTGACAGCCAGCTGTCTTTTTTTTAATAACTGGCTTTATGGCTCTGAGTTCTAGGCCTTCTGAGCCTCAATGGCATCACATCACCATTGGAGCACTAGTTTCACCGTTTCCACTAATAGTTCTCATGCGTAGACACGTAATACACAAAATCGCACCACTTTTACATATGAAAGTCCACTTCAAACCATTGTTTAAACAATAATACAGGAGCAGCAAACCGCCGCCGGTCAAGTTCACGCCAAAACTCAGCCAGCTGTCACTTTTACTGGTCCATAGATAAATAAATATGTATTATTTATTTATAGCAAATATGGAGTGTAGAGTAGCTTGCTACATATATATTTATCTATGGTGTAGAGTAGAAGGAGAACCATCTTATAAGGAGCGAAGGTTGAAAAAGTGTCCTACTATTTACTGTAAATAGAGGTTCCAAAACCTACCACAATAGCGCTGGCGTCTGAAAAACTACGATATGAAGATAGCTGTTATGAACGGAGTGAAGTCAGCTGAATTCAAATATTTCATGACTAGAGTAGTTAGTAAAACGCCAATATACAAAATCTCAACTATTTACGTAGTACAAAACCAAGCGGATTGATCGGTCCTTATTTATTTCTCCATCTTATTCTAAATACTTTTGGCGCTTCTTTTTTAATTTATCCTATGCTACTGCAGCGCCACCCTTATTGGACACGTTTTTAGGGACACTTTTCATATACAGAGATGGTCCTCCTTCTACTCTACACTCCATAATAGCAAATTAGAGATATGACAGTGACTTTGTCAAGTTTCCAAACTATGCGTTTTGGCGCTGCACTCGCCTATTTTGACAGATGAGTAATGACTATACAATTTCCATAGATTTAGTATATACTTAGATTGGCAATGTAAATGAGAAAGGGCATAGCATATGCTTACGTTAGAACGAGATAGAATGGCTAGACCATACACGTACACGCTATCAGCCTGTATCAGCCTGACGTCAATGGTTAACGAAACAAATCCCGCTTATTTTCGTGATATTTTTGATTTTGAAGTATTAATAGGTATTTAAAAGGTGTGATTAAATATGGTGACGTGTGCCGTACCTGAATGCAGTTCAACGAGAAAAGAAAATCCACAAAATTAAACATTTTACATGTAAGTACAATTAAATTATTTAGCACTCTAAATTCAACATTTCAGAACTAGTACAAATGTTTTATACACAAAGGGATAGGGAAAAATATCGCATTTTATTACGATAATGGTCTAAATTCGTGAGAATTATATTAAAAATAATAACAAATACGTGAATTCCCGCTATTTATGATCAAATTTTTGTAGGGATTGACACTATCAATATCATCTTATCGATAATATGTTTATAACAGGCAAAGACATAATCTTGGATGCAGCCTCTTGTGACTTCATTTTTTTAATTTTCTATTTTTACGTTTCAGTGTTTCGTAATAGTAAATACTTACGCATTATTGTAAATACTTTAACGATATCATTTAAACTCTTATATTGTTTCAGATTTTCAAAAAATATTCAGTTTAAACAAAAATTGTTAAAGATGATAAATAGAGAAGGATGGGGTGTACAACTTGTTGTTGTCATCCACGTAGTGTATAATTTTTTATAAAACGAAATTAACAAAGGAACTTACAGTATCACTTAAGACACAACACTATTGATATTCTTCGGAGAAGATTAGATATGAAACAAAAAAAATTGTTAGAGTACAAAAAACGGGCTAGTAAAAAAGTGGAAAAGTTGTATCAAGCGATAAAAAAAAACCTAGAAAGGCTTCCCTAACTTCAAAATAACATTAGTGCTGTATTAGCATCTAGTTCAAACGATTTGTAGCAGCATCTCATCGAAAGGGTCATTAAGAAATAGTTTATGGGATAGGTATTTGTACTGAACGAGTTTTCCGAAAAAAAGTGAAAGGAAAATTGTAAACGAAAATATGTTTCGAAAATTAGTAAACGAATGCCTTGTGTCCTGCAAAATTTTTTAACATACTTGACATACATATGTACGATTCGCCAGCACTATAAAACCATAAACACTTAATTATTAAATTAATAATCGAAACTTATTTGATTATTAGATTGAAGTATAAAGCAAAATTGCAAAATACATCTTAAGGAGAGCTTACGACATTTTTACAATAATTTAGTTATTTTTGGTGGAAAATAAAAATCACAAACTTTGTGTTTGTAGTTTTATTTTATGCCCTCAAACATAATAATATTCATTTTATGACACAGGCACAGCGTTCTGTATCGATGATTGAAGTTGATACATGGCGCAGCACTATTGTTGTCGCACACATGCACATTTCACTCACACGGGTACATTTCGTTTTTGGTCTCACCCTAATCACGCTATCGCCAATCTAATGTATACTATATCTATGACAATTTCAGTATAGTTATGTATAACTTAATGATTGCAAGCACATATCATTCAAATCGTCGATAGCGATATTCGTGATGTCTTATTATATCGATATCGATGTAAGCGTGCATTATATAGTATTATTAAAATATTACTTAATGAAACAATTATAGTACATAAACATTTATTACTTATTCAAGCACACCAATATCATATACATACACACGTAATCTTAGGATTAAATTGAAGGTACACTAGGTTGAATTAAAAATGTACATAACATTGTATATAGGTACAATTTGACGAAAACAGAGCAATATTTATTGTTCATTAAATAAAGCAAATAGCAAATTAAAGAAATTAAACCACACGAATCATATTTAATCATAGTGCTCAATATTTTACTTTACAAGTTATTTTTATATAAATTTTAAACAGCTATAATTCAAATAGTTTTCAAAGCCTACGACACAATTTTAAGTAAATCATAAAAGAGCTTACAATCACTTCGTTTTAGTTCGCAGTGTGAATCTTTGATCTGTAATAGTAAAAATTAAATGATATAATGATTTGTTATATTTACGCGAATACTACACATTGAATAAAAATATGTTTACGGATTTTGTCGGGCTTAAATTACAACCCGTGGTCACAGTTAAGGGGAGGGACTGAGATGTTTGACGTCGCGATGACATAGTATGATCTAATTTAAACGTCTTTTCTCTAAGCAACATCAATCAAAACAAATCAATCAAACGAAAGAGCTCATCTATTCGCATAGTCAGAGACGCTTGCACATTATTTTATGTAACCATTCCAAGATAACAGATTTGGTGCAGTACTAAGTTGGGACGTTAAATTAAAATCAAAAAACTGAAGGTAGCCGGGCTAACTATGACATCAGGACGTCAAACACCTCAGTCCCCCGTGACCACGGGTGCTAGAAAGCAACGTCGTCGAAACGTCGGGAAAATAAAATAAGTTGATACTCGTATACGCGATAAAATCCGTAATAGTTTTATTTAAATGTGTAGTGTTCGCGTAAATATAAGAAATCATCATGGGACGTTATTTTCTTGTACAATGTAATATGGTGTGTTATCCCATAAGATGACGCTGTTGGGTAGTAGGTTAGGAATAAGCATTTCAGAGATCTAATTTTTAAAGTTACTCTATTCATGTGGTTGTGATAATCTCCTGATGAAGTACCTGCTTTGAAAAGCAGCTTAGAATTATTTAAAAATCGCTTCGCGATCCTGCCTGTACCAGAATTTTTTAAAAGTTAAGTTATTATCAACCCACGTTTCACCCAAAAAGAATATATTTCTGTCTGGGCAAATACAACAGCTGGCCTTTCCACTAAAATAGGACGTTTATTATGACACTTCATCCACTTATATCCCATTTCTTTTAATAAATTTCTTAAACTGGTTATTCCCCATGTAAATTATTTTTTTTCTCTAATCGCTAGAAGTTTATGACAAGGAGGAACATTTTTTTGTTATATAAAATTCTTCGTCTTAATATAAAATTAAAACTTATTTTATCTACAATAATAAAACTATGATAATAAAAAAAAAACTAAAACTAGAAACTAAATTATCATATAGTCCTACTCCCCGCGGTATCGTGCCAAGAACGCTGGCTGCGATTCCCCGCTGAATGGCTATACTTAGCCTTTGAGCGAGGAAAGAACCAGCCCTCTTATCACCAGCAGCAACGACCAGTCGCGGATGGAGTTCCTTTAGAAACTTCACCGCACGTGGACCCCACGGACCGATAGTCTCTACAGCTAATGGCACAAATATGTAGTCATCTCTCAGAGACTCATATTTGCGCCACTTACTCAGTTCAGCTGCCTCCGATGCCGCCCCGGCTCTAAACGAAGTACCCCTGAGATGAGAGGCCGCCAGAGTGTCTACGCAAGTAGCATCCCACACTAGGGCATTACCTCTCTACCAAGGGACCAATGTCATACCGTCGGGTCTCTTGCCATCGTCTCTAAATATTCCACAAGGCTCTAAAACCGAGGGAACATTTATAGAGGCAAGAGCCCTCTGATGAAATCGTTCAAAGAACTGTGTCGTGAAAACCTACCAGCGCTTTTCTTACATAAAAGTCCGTGGAGCCCAAACTTGTCGACGCTGCTACCACAGGGGCACTGATGGGGTTGACAAATCGCCACTCCTAGTCGGATTCCTACGGCAATGCGTAAGCTTTCCCTATCAAGTAATGTGCCGAGATTACTTGATGGTAAAACGTGTAACCAGTGATTAGATTCCTTAGTCGAAACAGCTAGAAGGCGTGCCTTATCTTGGTCACTATGGAAATTATGAAACAAATCCTTCTGCACGCCCTGTACCAACGGAATATCCCACTGTTTTTGTTGGTTAACTTCCAGTGGAACATTTTCACCAGGACAGAGCGTTTGCCATGTCTGCCCTGCCTCCGTAGC